GCTCAGTGTGTGCTGGCTGGCAGCCTGTCCCTGCCACTGCTTGCTTGTCCTGAGCTGTTCTTCATCCACACACCCTGTTCTTAACCTCCTGCAAAGCTCGAAGGCCGCCCTTAGGAAGTAAAATGTTAAACAGTTTATCTTTGTTTGATTTACTGTGCAAGGAAGTAAACTTTATCGCCATCTTTGCATGACAGAAAGGAACACTGAAGCCCAGACTGAATCGGAGCACAAAGAGACTCTTTAGAGGACACTGTGAGCTCCGTGGGTTCAGAACACTGGAGCTCTGACAGCGTGTGCTGAACCCCCTCTCTGTATCTTTTCCAGCCCATTGGAGCGCTGCTGCTGGAGCACTGCAGAATCACCAAAGAAGAGGAGAATGTTTTCTCCATCAGTGAGTTCTGTTTGTGTGTTCCCTTCATGTCCCCCTCGCAGCGGCTCTTGGTAAAAGGAAACATTTCCTGCTTTCTTCCTGCTTTTCCCCATTCCCCCTCTGGCCCAGCTCAGTGCTCCCCAACCTCCCTCCCCATCCAGTGCTGGTCGGTGCAGAGTTGCCGTGCTCCAGTCCTGGGATGGCAGCATCTCCCCATTGCTGTGATGGGCACGGCTGTGTGCAAGGAGAGGAGCAGGAAAAGCAGGCAGCCCACAGCTCAGTGCTTGTGGCAATGCCTCTCTAGGAGGGTTCGCTATTGACAGATTGCTGCTTCTGTGCTGTTGCATTTTATAAAAAAAAAAAACCAACAAAAAACCCCAAACACAAGTGGGCTTCAGATCAACCATCTGTGGTGCTGGTGGAGCAGGAGTGCTGTGTCCTTGTGTCGATAGCCGCGGCTCCAGCTGCCTCGCACTGCGTCGGCCTTTCATCCCAACAACTAATCATTGTGCGAGAGGTATGTGGCAAAAATAACAGGATGTTTCTCCAAGGCCATCCCCGTATCTTTTGGCCTGGCTGTCAGGCGCAGCTGCTTCTCACTGCACAGCCATCTCCCCTCTCCCAGCCAGCAGAGATGGAGCTCTGACCGTCCCACGCAGTCTGAGTGCAGTCGGAGCGTTCTGCTGAGCGCGTGGGGTTTCTGCACTGCCAGAGCTCTGCTGAACCACAGGTTCCCAAGAAAGGTGTTGCATGTGATGGCACTTGGAGCCGGACTGCGTCCCGTACAGCAGCTCCGAGGGCTTGGATGCTCCTGACCCAGTTATTTCCCCACATCTCTGTGCACTGTGTACTAAAAAGCAGAGCTCTGGGGATGATGTTAATTAATTAGATGTCCTGATTCTGTCTTGGTAAAGAATGGGAGTTGTGCAGGGATTTGCTTTCTGCTGTGCACAGTACTGAATTCCCCAGAGCCTCCAGCAAAGACAGGTCAGTACCTTCTGTGAGTGTGATTTCATTCCTCAGATAGCTGCCCTCTGCACACCACAAAATCTCTTCCTCGGGGCCGTTTTCCACTCTGGTTACTAAATCTCCTCTGACGCTTTGCAAGGAGGCTCGGGGTGTTTCAGTCTGCGTTTGCCCAGCCCATCTCCAAGCTGTCTCTCGTTGAGAAGCTGCTCTTTCCCCTCCAAAGTGTTTTGCTGCTCTGAGCTGACGGGCACTGCAGGCAGCTGCTGGGAAATGCAGAGCAGAAGCGCCTCTGCAGTTGGTGTTGCTTTTGGAAGTGTCTCTCCCAGGCAGGAGTGATGCTGAGGGCTGCTGAGCTGTACTGAGGTCCTCTGGGCCACCATCACTCCCACACAGCTCTAACACAACTGCATGGGGAAGAGTGGTTATGCGCTGAGTTGAGGGAAGGGGGATGTTAAGGAGTGGCTGTTGCACTGTGTGTGCTGTTTCCAGTCCCCTTCTATTAGCAAACAGCTTTCTGAGCTGGATTTCAAGTTCGCAGGGGCAGGTTTGGCTGGGCCTTTGATTTTAGCAGGCAGAGAAAGAGTGTAACTCCAAGCCATAGTTAGGAGCATGATTCCAAGCTGCTCACGGTAGGATGGAGGGGACAAAGGCCTGGGTTCCCACCTGGTTCACAGGTCATCCTAGATGAACAAAGGTGCTAACTGCAGCCTGGCTGAACCTCACTTTGTTGAGGAGGAAGAGCTCTGCCAGGACCTCACTTAATCCTTTTCCTTGTCCTTGGCAGGTTTCATTGAGGAGCCAGAGAGGAAGTACTGCTTTGAGTGTGACAGCGAAGAGCAGTGCCAGGAATGGATTGAGGCACTCAAGAGAGCCAGGTGGGCCGAGCTCCCTGAGAAGGGTCTGTTTTGAGCTGCACATCTCATGCTGTTTGTTTCCTGGGATCACTCATGGTGAACCTGGGGAGGAAAGCAGCTCCCTCCTCCTGGCCAAGCTTCCCTTTGGCTCTAAACAGCTTTAGAAACTTCCCCGCATTCCTTTCTGCTCAGCCCGCTGTTCTTTTCTTACAGCTATGAGTTCATGAGGAGAAGTTTGATTTTCTACCGGAATGAGATCCAGAAGATGACGGGGAAGGTGAGTTCCTGAGGTTGGCTGCTGGGGTTGGCCTGCATCTCTGGCCTTGCTGCTGCCATCCTGCGTGAGGCTGTTGGCTGCACCGCATGCGGCTGTGCTCTGGAATCAGCACTCAGCCCTGCTGTGTGCCAGGCTGCTGAGAAGGGCTGTCCCAGCTCCCCCTGCCCGTGTCTCACCATCACTTCCCTGTGCTCTCCTTGCAGGACCCCCTGGAGCAGTTTGGGATCTCGGAGGAAGCCCGCTTCCAGCTGGCAAGCCGCAAGCAGTAATTCCACAGGCTCTTTCTGGAGGGTGAAACCCACCTTCCCCCAGAAGGAACAGCAGCAGTTCCCCCCCCAGCGGTGACCAACTGACTTTCTAATTTATTAGCCAAATGGGGCTTTTTTTTATGATTTTTTTTTTAAGGGAATTCTTTGCACATTCCCACCTCTCCTGCCCTCCCGCAGCCACGGGGGCAGCCGTAACTGTTCCGTGCAGACTGTGACCTTGTGCACCGATGCTGCTGCAGCCATGGGAGTGACAGCAGGAGCAGAGGAGGAGGGACTGAGCCGAGCTCCAGCACTCACTGTCCTCCAGCAAAGGCTTAGCCCTGGTGCCAGGAACTGTGGGGCCGGCCCTGTGCCAGCTCTAGCTTCCCCTTAATCCCTGCCCTCCTGCTGGGAGCTGCTCAGCTTTTCTGGCTTAGGATGTTCCTGCAGCAGCCCCGTTCTGTAGGAGGCTGCTCTGGCTGATGGCATTGCTGTGCCACAGGTCTAACCCTGCTGTGTTCTCTTCAACACAAAGCCATTTCCATTCAGCAAGGAGCAGGAAGGCTTCTGTGAACGTGGAGCAGCTCTGCTCGGAGGAAGGGCATCACCCACTGCCGCCAGCACCTCCTGGGGTGCTGTTCTGTTTGTCCTTTCTCCAGACAGGCACTGCTCATTCCTAGAGGCTCCATGAAGCCCACTCTACTGCCAATTAGAGCGCTGTCACAAACGATGCAGAGAATGAAGCTGTAAAGCACAAGGGAGGAAAAACGGGGCTGAGAGCTCCGTGCCGTGATTCTGCCGCCCTCTGCAATGCTGTGGGCTGGGCTGAGCCTCAGGAGCAGCAGAGAGAGAGACCTGTAAAGGCAGGATCTGCTGTAAGAGTGTCGGGGTATGGTGAAGTTGAGCCCTGGGAGCATCGCCTTGCTATGCTGCAATACTCCACTCCCTCTGTGAGCTGCCAGGGAGCAACGAGCGCCTTTGCAGGGACTCTGATAATGAAGCAATGAGCAGTAATAAGCATTAAGGGACATCTCGAGGCTCCTGAATGCAAACGGGGGAAGTGCAGCCAGAGATGAGGGGTGGAAGGCGCTCCCCAGAGCTCAGAGACCCCACGCAGCAGCTCCACTGGGCTTTCCCTGCAGAAAAGCCCCCCCAGAGGTGCAGCCACACTGATGGCAGAGGGAGCCGCTCAGCCCTGGGAGAGGGGGTGCAACTTTTTCCCAGCCAGGCAGCAAAAAGGCTGCTCTACAATTACAGCAGTAACTGAGCGGGGCGAGCAGCTCGTGCTGCAATGGGGCTGAAGGGAAGTTTTAGTTCTCTTCCTTGGCTGGGAAGGAGTGCAGGATTGCGAGCCTGCAGCGGTGCAGCCTGGCTTCTCTCTGTACCTCAGCTGTCGGTACCAGGAGAGCAGCAGATGGCACCGACGCTTTATTTTTAACCTCACGCCCCAGATCCTTTCCTTGCCCTCTCCTGTATCCCCTTTCCCTGCAGCGGTTCGAGTGCCTGCAGCAGCAATCACCAAAAACAAACCGCGCAGGGCAGAAAATAGGGCGGCATTGAAGGCAGATGGCAGCGCTCCTGCAAGCCACAAGCTGGGATTAAAGACCGGAGCAGCACAGAGCTTTGGAGACTCGGTGTCCTCAAATGACTCCAATGACCACCGCCAGCTCACGGCCAAGGAGCCCAGTGCTGCTGTCGGCAGCCCCCCGTCCTCCCCCCAGCCCATGGGGGTGACCCCACTCCAGTGATGGTCAGGGGGTGCTGGTGGCGTAACAGGGACAGCGATGACCCCAACGTTATTGAGGAGGAGACAGTGACATTTCCTAAAAGTGAATGTAAGACAAATGCTGTGAAGAGTTGTGTGGGCCTGCGCAGGCCCGGCGACTTAATTAGCAATGAGTTGATCAACTGCTAGCGTAGCGTAGGACACTGTTAGAGCTCAGCAGCAGGGGAAGGTGGTGCTGGAGAGACCCACGTCCGCTGCTGCTGATGTAGAGACAATTCTGCATGATGTGTTTGTATTGCAGGGGCCCAACCTTCCGAGCGCGGGCTCCGCGGCTGTTGTACGACAACCATTTCCAATAAAACTTCTTTTAATCACTGCGGCCATCAGAGCGTGGTGAGGGGCTGAGCCCCCGAGCCTGGAGGAGCAAATTCCCTATTGCATGACCGGTGTGAGCAAGAAAGAAGAGAAAATCCTAGAGCACCACAGACAGGGGGTGAGCAGGAGCTGCAGTCAGCGCCAGCCCAGCACTGAGCAGTGAAACGCCACGACAGAGCAGTGTATTAAAATACGTACACTTTAATATAAAGACAAAACTTCAAAGCATTTGTTTCCATTACAAATCAAGGGAGAGACACAAGAAATGAAGTGAGGGGAGGAAAAAAAAAAAAACAACCAAAAACTAACAGTGCAGGGCATTAGAAAGGCAGGGGGGGGATATATATATTATACGTACATATATACACACCAGAATTTGCACTACTTCTATGGGATGGAAGGAATGATGGGACAACTTACCGGTGTAAAATAAAACGACAACAAAAAGATAAATTAGGGGGAAGTTTGAGTTTTAAATAATTGGGTTTAATCGGCTAAATTATATAAACTAATCCCTATTCCCTAGGAAACATCCCGTATCGCTGCTCTAAGAAAACGCGTGGTGGTTGTGGTTTTAAATCCATCCAAAATGGATCGTTAGTAGTAGTTAAAAGGTTTGCTAATCAATTCCTGAGCAACAGCAACCTGGTGACCCGCTGCGTCCCGCCTGGCTCCAACGGAGGGTGAAAAGACCCAACGAGTTGGTTTTAATTGGAGATCGATCGCTTCGAAGATCGCTAGGTGCCAGAAGCCACGCGGGATGGACCGACCCGTCCTCCTCTTCCTCGTTAACCACAGCAGCGAGACCTCGCTAACGAGCCAACCGAGCCAGAAGCAAGCAACAGCTGTACCTTAAAACAACACCAAATCCCAAAGCTGGGAACTTTGGGGTCAGTGCTACGGAACCCGGAACTGCACCAAGGGGTTTTGTTTGTGAAGGGTGAAGATGGAAGAAAACCTCTGCACAAAGATGCAAACAGCAGATGCACCGCAGGGACATTTGCAGTGTGTGCTTCCCGTTTTTGGCTTTGGGGTTAAACCCTGAAGTTCACAGTAACGTCACCTCTCTCACTGCGCCGCTCGGTGTTTCTAAGGCGAAAGGATGAAGAAAATGCGGCACAGCATCACCCTACACACTGGGAATCCATCTGATGGTGAGAACCCGATATGGAGAAGTCAGAGCACATAAAGGAAGAAAGAACAGCCCCAAAACCTCAACTATTCGTACGCCAACATCTGCACTTCCAAAAAAAAGAAGCCCTACTTTTGTGGTTTCACCCCTCTGCTGCAGAGCTGCCTCATGAGGACATCGCCTCCTTTCCTGGCAACCCAGCAAACCCAGTTGGTTTGCTGTCCTCTGCACACTGACAGATACTTGTGGGAAGCTCCACCTCCTCCTCCTCCTCTTCTTCCTCTTCCTGGCTCAGGCAACACACAAAGAGCAGAACTTGGGGAACTTCCCATCAAGCTGGGGTAACTCCTTCAGAGAACAAATAACCCCGGATCTGTTTCCTGCAGGAAAAGCACCAATTGCAACACAAAAACCCAACCAGGCAGATGGCAGAACTGACATGGGGGATGCAGACCCGGAGAGGGGCAGCTCAGCAGCAGCAGGGCGGGTGTTGCAGGTGGGACGGGATGAACTTGGGAGGTCTTTTCCAACCCTGGTGATTCTGTGATTGGAAACCCACCGCTGTGTGCAGCCATCGGGATTTATCAGTGCAGCCAAGTGGGGCCATCAGCTTGCGGCCCTCCTGGTCACCTCTTGCAGCACAACAACCATCCAGATTCCACCCCATCCTCAGTGCTATGCAGCTGCAACACCTTTCAGGAGGAAACTGCCCACCCAGACTCCACCCTGCAGCACCACTCCAGCCCAAAATGCTGGAGATGCAATGGAAGAGCCTACGGAGCTCCGCAGAGCTCACCTGGAAGTCACTCACTGAAGTTTGATTCAAACATAATTAGAAAGAAATCTCAACTCCAAGTGAGTGGCTGTAGCAACAGTTGGGTGATTTGAGGCTGAGGAAGGATAGAGACCAGGAAAAACTTCTTCAGCAAAAGATGGTCAGGCACTGGCATGGGTGGTCACCGTCCCCAGAGGTGTTGGGGAATGGTGATGTGGCACAGAGGGACACAGTCGGTGAGCAGTACTGTGGGAGGTGGACAGCTGGACTGGATGATCTGAGAGGTCCTTTCCTAAATTCATGACTGAGTTTGGGAGCCTCATAGCTCCTGACCCTCAAAGCATTGCGGCAGAAACCGGTGGGAGACGGAGCTCAGACTGAAGAAGGATGAAGATGTTTCCCATCACCATGGTTGTCCACTGCACTGAAGGCAACAGCCCTGCACCCTGAAACAAGAGGCAGCTCGATCCTACAAACCCCAGAAGGCAGAGCATGCACAGTCCGTTCTGAGGCTGACAATGTGCTGCACAGTGCTCAGGAAGGTCCTTTCATTCTGGCAATGTCCACTGCTGGATGGATTCCGACTTCCTGACTTGCCCCTCACTGGCAGCAGTGGTGTGGAGGAGAAGGAACATTTGTGACGGCCATCCAACGGCTGCACCCGGGCAGGAAGCATAACAGAGAAGGAATTCTTTTTTGGAACCGGCTGTACAGCTTTGGTTACTCGCAATTATCTCCAATTATTGAAAACAGGTTTCAGATCTCTGGCAGGCACTCATACATCGCAGTCCTGTGTGTCTCATTGCAGCCATATGGATCAGATCTGAACAGCTCCAGGAGCTGCTCCTCCAGTAGCCCTGGAGATAAATGGGTTGGACTCACTCCAGGTTATGGCCAAGCAGTAAAAGATGGGGACGTGGAGAAGATGATGCAAATCTCAAAGCAACCACAGCGACCACCTCTCCCCGATGAAGTGATACTGGGACTTCAGCCCCCCGTGCTCGGCTTCCCATCTCACACTGCTCAGTGGTTTCCATGGCACTCCCAGCAGCACGCCCCAGGGATGAAGACACTCACCATGCTGACACTTGGAGCTCAGCCACCCCATGGGCAGACACCTGCATGGTTTGGGATGAAGGCGGGGGAACAAAAGGCCTAGAACTCTGTCTTGGTCCGCTTTCCAAAAACCATCTGCTAAAAGCAGAAGGACTATAAGGATAAAAATGGGAGAATGCAATTAAGGCTCCTGCCTCTCCAGCCATTGCTCGTGCCCATCCCCACTCCCAGGACCGGAGTGCAGTGCCAGGAAGGATGTAGGGCAGCTCTGCAGCTCACAGCGGCTCACGGCTGTGAATGAAGATGGGGCTGCCCAACTCCCAGCTGCAACACATCTGGGTTACACCGTCCTCCTGGATTCCAGGACATAAACTCTGTACAGCTCCTACTAGAAGCTACGGATGTTTCTCAGCCATCGCCCTCTGCGTGTTTTTGCCCTTCTCCAGGTTCTCCTCTCACAGCTGTAACTCAGCTGCCTCGTCTTCTCCCACACACAAAGCAGAAGACAGTTCCCCAGAGTCCCTCCTTTCCAGGGCTACCAACCCCTTCCCTTCCCAATGAACGAGACAACGACATCACATCGACGGTTTCTGCACACAATGGCCGCCTATGGAAGACACACATCGGGACCAACAAATAACCACACACTGAGCTGAATCTCTAAGATTGCAGAGGATGAGGTACGAAGAAAAGGGGATGAGGTACGAAGAAAAAGCTCTACACGGAACCTGCAGAGGGTGGAAGCTGTCAGAGAACGGCTCCTCAAGGAGAGCACGCAAGGACAGAGCCATCTCACATACAGAGGCAGCTGGAAGCCATGGCACCCAGCCCAGCCTGTTGTGGCCCCGCGGCACCCATTGAGTCTGAGCACCCATGCAGATGCCCCCAACACCTCCACGTGTTTCTCTTCCCGTCATTCTGCTGTTGCAATTCCCCTTCTTTGACTGTAGTTTCCTTGATTGGTGCTGGGTCCAGCCTGACCTACAGACTGGGCAATGTCTACGTAACGGGTCGCCTTTCCCTCCTCGTTTTGTGCACTCGAATAAATAAGTTTTTACACGTTTACTGTGCACTGTACAGTCTAAAAATAAAGGAAATAAAGTATATGAAATTTATAAATTCTCATCACATCTCTATAAAATACAGCCGCTGCTCCGAGCGGCTCTTTCTGTACACAGAACACCGAGTCACAATACAACAAATGCACCAGTTCAATGCACCAGTTCCACCAGGGGCAGCACGGCGAGATGGCGGCGTTGTGAACTACCATTCAGATCCACTTCAAGCAAAGAAATACAAAAAGCAAAATGCACTTAGTAAGACGTCTAAGCCATTTCTGCATCAAGTATCAAAACTCTACCAACAAAATACAATTGACTCGGAACAAAAACGAGCTGCAAAAATCTACCTGCACCGGTACAGAAGCACTATGTTCAGTCTTCCCAATGTCATCTCGAGGGCCTGACCAATCCCAGTGATTGTGCACCCTGTTCATATGCCAACGACATCCCAAAGTGACCAGACCAGCTACCGAAATTCACAGCCTGCAGGCGGCCCAGTGCAGTGGGATGGGGCAGGACTCGGATCCCTCCTGCTCGACCAGGCTGCCCTGGGATCCAGCTGCCACCCCAGAGGGGAGCACGAGCTCTCATGTGTCCAAATGCAATTAAAACCCACCCGGTGGCTCGGTTCTCCCCGGAGCAAACCGCCGGATGAAAGAGCGCCGCAGCACACGTGGCTGTAAACCAAGTGGATTTGGGGATATGAACAGAGGAAGGTGAATAAATAAAAGCAGACCTGTCTGAGAACTGGGTTTGGCATTGGTCAACCCTCTAAATTCAGCACCAAGGATCAAACTAGAGGCACAGTTCTGACGGATGAAATAGCACCGAGAAGAGGCTCTTTACATCTCTGCTGGTGTGCCAGTCCTCAGTTATTCAGAGAATTTAACCACAAGTTGTATTTATGACTCTAGGTGGAATAAAATAAGTCAAAATTATTTTCACGTTAAAAAAGATAAATACTTTACCTAAACTATCAACAATACAAACTGGAGCCTTAAGTATTTCGTTTGCTTTTTTTTTTTTTTCTTCCTTTTTTCTTTTTTTTTTTTTTTTTCCTTTAAACTCAGATTCACAGTAAATATTATTTTCTCTGTTGTTTAGGTCTTTTTAGGTTTGTGTTTTGTCCAGTAGTAAGAGCAGAACCCCTGCACAGGCCAGTGAGCACCTTTCAGTGGAAGCCGAGTGAAGTTGGTCCACGTTGTCCTTGCATAGGTCACATTGGGTTGAGGTAGAAATCCTAGTTACCTGCACAACAGGAGAGGAAGAGACTCATCTCAATGACAAAATCCACAGCGTGTCTGATGTGTCAATCATTTCTACATTGCTCCAAGACCGCGACCGGACCGAGATTTGGGACCTTCAGCCAGCAAGGGAGGAAGAGTTGACCCAAGAGCACTGACAACAGACAGGAGGAGGCCGCTGAGAGTCGGACCCCACCGGGGGGAGGAGGAAGGTCTCTGCCTGCCCACATGGGCTTCACCCTTTTCTAGCACACACTGCTCTGAAGTTGTTACTACCTTATGGAGGAGAAGTTAAGCGGATTATTTCAGCCCCTCAACTCTGGATTTCAGCAAGGGCTCTGAGCACATGGATTTATACTGAAGTTGGGGAAAACATTCCAGTATTTGGCTTGCATCATACGGAGCAGCAATGTGTGCCACAGAGCGCCTCCTGGGAGCATTGCTCTGCTCCTCAGAACACCTCCGGACACCTGGCTGCCTTTCAGTGGACTTCAGCCACGTGCCGGCCCTACTTTGGATGGCGTGGCACCAATGGGATGGCAGCTGGTTCTGCAACACCCCGGTCCCAGTTAAGGCACCTCCTTCAGCAGAAGACCTTCCCACCACTCCCCGGAGCCATTCAGGCACACAGAGCCCCAAACCTCCTCCTCCTCCTCCTCTTCCTCCCCCAGCTCTCTCCTACTCAGCCCGCCCCATCAGCACATCAGCATCACTGCGGCCACAGCACAGGGACATCAAACTCCTCCTCGGCTTCCCTGCTGGGCCAAGGTGGCACTTACCTGCCTCACCAATGCCTATGGGGACTACATTTGTGCCCACCGAGCAATTTGGTGGCGAAGGCGCTACACACAATGCACAGCCAAAAGAATCTCTCAGGGATGTTGTAATTGAGGCATATGTTTTATAAGCGGTAAAGAGTATTCAACCATCGATTTTTACGCAGCTTTGGGATCAGTGAACAGCAACAACATCAACGACCTACAGGTAAAGCACGGAGCGAGCTCAGGGCCCTCACACTGCTGGAGCTCTGTGATCCCAAGCTGTTACATCACGATGCCACAGAGCATTTTTCATTACAACAGTGCCCAACTCCGTGCCGGTGCGCTTTATTCTAAAGGCATTTAAACAGTGCTTCAATAGAAATGCATACAGCCTGCACAGACCCTCCTCTCTCTTACAGCCCCAGCACAAAGCAGCCAACCCTGCACATTCCCTACAGTCTACCCAGGGAGCGAGCAATTGCCAAGTGAGCAATCGTATGATTCTGTAACAAAGCTCTGATGGAGACTGCCGCTGTGCGCATATCAAGCTGCAGTGCTCAGCTTGGCTTCTTGGTTTCCTCTTCTCTGCTGCAAGTTCTAACCCCTTTTTGCTACCTGTGGCTGTTTCCCAGGGATGCAGAGGGTGTGCTGACTGCAGTGCATCAGCAGTGCGTTTGCACTCTGAAGCTGCAGCTTGGGACCTGGAGGGTTTGGAACTTTCTGGTTATTGAGCAGCTGTTGTTGGCTGAGGTTGGAAGCAGCATCACTCACCCCAGCGCCACGGGAACACGGACTTGTGGAAGGAGCAATGTCTGCATTAGAATCATAGGATGGCTTAGGTTGAAGGGGATCTTAAAGATCATCCACTTCCACTTCCCTGCCCTGTGCTGGAGGGGAAACCACCGCCGATAATCGTATAAAAACCGTAACGTATAAAGTATATTCACGTATACACCTGACTCCTCCTGACTGCTGATCCCCACCTGGACGTAATCCCAACTCAATGGGACAGCAGAGTCAGCACTCCTTGTCGAGAAATCCTGACTCCCAGCCCAGGCAGCACGGAGCTCTGCGCCCTCTGCCACCGCACTACCCCACATTTCAGAGGCTTCTGTCTCACAGCCCGCGCCCACCCCTCTCTGCAGAGGAAGAAGCACCACTCAGCATCTCGCACACCACTCCTGGGGTTCGTCTCTAGCCTTACCTTACAACATAAGAACCGTTAGCTAAGCAAGCTCTTTATCGTGGCTTAACCCCAGAAAGGTGCGAAGCGGAAGGAGGCTGCATGCCAAGCGTGACCCACATGGCGGGCGCGCCGGCGGCCGTGGGCTGCGCCATCGGGGGCACGGACTGTGCCAGCGCCGAGCGGGGCAGGGGGGGGTGGTGGACGGTAAAGGAGGGACGGGAGGCTTTGTGCTGCAGGGAAGCGAGCTTGATAGACAGAGCGGCGTTAGAGTGGACAGAAGCGGCGGAGGAGGATGGCAGGAAAGCGTCGCCGGGTGGGATGGAGGGGCTGTGCAGGAGGTCGGGGTTAGAAGCAAGCAGAGGGGGAGGAGGGGGCAAGGAAACGTTAGGAGGGGGTGGAGGTGGATGGAAAACAGATTGCACTGGCGCTCTGTTGAGGTGCTGAGCGGCTCTATTCTCGCTAGATGTTACTAAATTAGAGGAGGGGGGTGGGAAGGATGAGGATGAGGTGCTGGCAACAGCCTGCAGGGGGTTTAAGCTTAGCACTGTGCTGCTAGAGACAGCACTGCTGCTGAAACTGGCTCCAAACTGATGAGGAGAGGAGGCAGAAGGCACCGCATGGTTAAAAATACCTGCAAACAGGAGAGAAAAACTCAGCTTCAACAGATGGGCTTTGTACAGTCTCAGGTGACAAGAGAAAACAAAACAAAACAAAAAAAAAGCAAAATTATAGTAGTTACGGCCCCATACAAAAATATGCAGCATGAGAAGGCAGCAAGCAATGAGAGGTAATGGTGCAGGCCAGGAGGTACAAGAGGTTCACTTACCTTTCCTACTGCCAACCTCTACGTGCCACCAGGACACGTGGTCAGACCCCAGAACTGTCAGTGCCGTACCACACAGGCAGGCTCTGCAGAGATTACGGGGTCTCTCAGAGCCGTGGATCTGAAGACTCAGACTGCTGCTCTTCCCTCCCCACCCCTCCTGCTCTCCCCCACTCACGGGGCAGCGCAGGGGAGACCGCACTTCCAGCAAATCTACGTGCTGAGAGATGTGAGAGTTAGGATTTCCCGACACGGTGCCTGAATGGTTACGGATGGGTAAGACACACTGCCTGCCCTGGACAGTGAGCTGGGACAGGCTGCGTGCTGCTCCTGCCGAGCAGAACCCCAGAAGCAGAAGGTGCATATGGCACTGCCCTTCCTGGCAAAAAGATGCTCTCGGTGTCTGTTCCAGAGCCAGAATGCTACGCAATTCCCAACGCCACTTCCTCAGATGTTTTTGCTCTTCCTGGATCATACTCAGTGCTAATCCCAACCTCTACACAAGCTGACAGAGCTCCTTTCACTTGGTGACACAACGGGTTAAACCTTTTACCTGCAGGTAGGCCTAGGCTGGTTCCAACACAGCAACATCTGAACAAACATACATTATGAAATCACAAAGTCGGGTGTATTCTTTCATTGAGGTGATACAACAAGTGGACAAAGCTCATGGGATTTCACTGTGGGGCAACGGGCTCATCTTAATTTCGGAGGGAGAGAAGAGACGTGTTATGTGGAATAGGTCTGCTTGACATCCTGTGGAAGTGAAAGGGTTTCAGCCCTGGAGAGGCAGCGTCAGACTTTCCTTTAGGCCCTGTCTTAGACCAGAGAAAGAGTTCTGCCTACCTCCAACTGTTCCACCTGTAACCCCAGGAGAGAAGTTCCCCATAGTGTGAGAATTAGTCAGTCTGGTTGCAGCTGACGACACGTGGACCAGACTGGCAGCAGCTGGCATGGAATTAAATAAGGACTGCAATACTGAGGAGTTTGTCACCGAGTTGAGGTTGGCTTGCAAGGCCATGGGGCCGAGGGGGAACTGCGATCCAGTGGTCAAAGTGTTGAGGAAGGGATGGTGCGTCTGCACAGACGATGCTGGGTTGCCTGCTGAAGAAACAGCAGTAGAAAGGCTTTTCCCATTCAGAAGGCCACCAGACGAAACAGCAGCAGAAATGAAAAGGTTATGGCCGTTTTTAAACTCCACGTCTCGGTCCCTTCCTTTGCCAACCTTTCCGTTATGCTGCAAAGAGTTTTTCTCCGAAGAACCCCCCGCACGAATGCTCATTTCACTCATGTCTTTGCTTTTGACTCCTGCCCGGCTGAGGTCTTCCCCCTTGGCGCCGCCGAGGCCTTCGAGCTGCCTCTTGTTCAAGAAAGGATTCGTTTCTGATATCCCCACGTCTTTGCTCCGCTGCGACTGGAAACCCAGCGAGCAGGCGGCAGCCGTCCCGTCCGAGGCCTTGTGTGGAAGAGAAGCACCATCGATAAAGCTGTGTAAACCAATGTCAGTCGACAGCCCGCCGTTGTAGGCGAACCCGTTGGTGGGGTTTGTGCTGGGGCTGAGCCCATCTGCCCCCGACGAGGGCATGGCCATGCCTTTCCTCGTGTGCGCCATCTTGGCGTCCATGGCAAGGCTGTCCTCGGAGGACGGCCTGAAGGCAAACAGCGAATTCTGGCTCAGAGACGACACAGACTGCAAGGGACTGTCCGTGGTTTTGGTCAGGTTGATGTCAGATATTGGTGAGAAAGTAGATTTCCATTTACTGCTGTTCATGTTCTCGTTGGGTTGTGCTTGTTTCCTCCCAGATAAGCTGCCACCTGGTTTGGAAGAAAGGTTTCTAAATACCAAAAGGCAGTTTGCACTGAACCTGCTCACTGAAAACGTCGGTTTTGCCTTCAACACCTGGATTTAACCGCCTGTAATTCTATTCCTCATCCAAAAGCAGAATACCTGTGAAGTCACCTACGCATCCTTTAAATTTAGCTTCACATCTGGTAGGTTTCGAGAACGCTGATCTACTCTTGCTCTACAGATCCCTCCCCAAGTCCTAACATGGCACAACACAACTCATTGGATCTCTGGTGGCCTGTGACTAGAGAAAGAACTGACCCAAGATCTGTAATTATCAGCCACCTGTCTTAATTACGATAACACAAAGCCCTGGTGGGATGGCACTCTGCTCATCAGCCTTCTATTAACAACCTTCAGCCACCCACTCCCCAGCCCAACCATCGTCCCAAGCAGTTTACATCTCTCACACCCACCGTTTTCAACAGTCTTCTGTGGAGATTTGCTTTCCAGCGATATCGTTGCAATTTTCCTCTCGATCCTGGTGGGAAAATAAAAAGGTTACAGCACTCACCGCAGTCGTTTGCTTTCATATTTACCCTCAGAGCCTCACGTTCACATCCTAACAGTTGACTGAAGCACATAAAGCCAATGCCCTACACGGGACAGGAAAACCATTTAGAAATATCCACTAGAAGCTCAGCAGAAGCTGTCACAGACTCTGTGCTCTTCGCCAAGGTCAATGCCTGCTCAGAGCACGTCACCACTGCTCCTTCACAAGGTTGGTGTCATTCACGCACGCTCACCTGGTGCTGTTGTGCTCATCTTCAGATCCCTGCTCGTCATCTGACGTGAGAGGGGAGTAATGAACGCCGTTGCTCTGAGTGAGGGGCTTTTCCTTTTTCAGTACCGGGGGCTGGTCGTTGTCCTGGTAAGGAACAGGAGAGTTCTTCAGGGAGTTTTCAGGAGAGGAAATGGCTGTTATTTCTAAAGGCTGGTTAATGTTATTGACCTGGGCAAGAAGGAAAGAAAGCAGTTACGGGTGAGAGCACCGCTTTAGAAACAAGGCGTCTTGTTTAGGATATGAACGCACTCAGCTTCAGGACAGGCCAACTTGGCACTGCCACTGCTCTCCCCCAGCACCATGCAGCAGAGCCCAGGATGAAGGCTTTAAGACAACTCGGGAACGTATCTTATTTTCATCATTTGATTTTATGTTTGAACGCAGAAATGAAGACATGGCAAAACGACATTTCTTCTCAAACTGCCACTGCAGGATCCCACGAGCACAACTTGTGGAGCTGGCTTATTAACGTGGGAACACCATATGCTTCTGGCACTCGTGAGCTGTTTAGTCAATCTTAGCTTAAACTACATTCAAAATATTTAATCTACAGGATAAAAAAGAGCAACTTCACTGTAAAAACAAGCTTTGCTGGAAGAGGCGAGATTGCTTGTTAATTTTTAGTGCTGTGACAGGAAGAACTCTTTGGAGACGTCCTCCAAAGGCATTCAGGGCCATGGAAAGGCCCTGGGCGGCCTGGTGGGGGCACCCAGCCCTTGGAGAGGGGTTGGAACGGGGTGAGAACCTCTCTGTGATATCTAAACCAAAGCAGCTCCCTAACATTCAGCAGCTCCCCTGGCCTTCAGAGGGGCCGTTTCCAGGGAGGGTCGTCACTCCACTCCCAGCCAGCAGCCCCGCGATGGCCTCACGCCTAAGAAGAAAGCAGCGGAAGCTGACTTCTAACGCCAAGAAATCTCCCCAGCCCTCTCTGCAGCCCTTACCATGGAGTTGATGTTGAGCGGTGAACCCGATGGCTGCGTAAAGAGTCCAGACACAGCGGGCAAGGATTTGCGTTTGGGGGAGACCCCGGAGCCCCCGCTGAGGTTCCCAGTGGAGGATCTCTTCCGCCGGCCGCGCTTCTTCCCGTCCTGCGCGTGTGCTGGGCCGCAGTCCAGCCGAGCGCTCGCGGGCAGAGGGCTGTGCTTGGTGGAAGGGGATTGTTTTACATGTCCTGTATTAGGAGAGATTGTAAAGATGATTCTTCTCTTGGCCTCGTTCTCAGGATCTGAAAATGCTGCATCAGACTGAAGATCCCCCTTTGTTCCATCGGCAAACATCTTCTGAGCATCTGCATAGTGCAGTCCCCCTACCAGGCTCTGGGAGGTGCCATTTAACCTGGGGCTTGCTGAGTGCTGGTGAGCAGGGGAGCTTTGCCCAGAGTTCCTCGACTGCATCATTAGCAAAGGATGTTGTGGAGTGGAACTCCGAGACCCTACTGAGTTAAACAGACTCCCGGAGTCGTCCAGAGCTGCCTGATCAACACTATGGTTAAGATGGGCTGGGCTGTTTGTAAGATTTCCATTGACTGCCACGGAGCCAGAAGAGTAAGAAAAACCTGTTGAAAGGGAAAGTATACATCACTGCTTCTGCTGAGCGATAGGTCACAGTGCTAGATGTGTGGGATGGCTGGGGCTGGCTGGCCGTGCAGTTGGGATGCTGGCTCTGCACGCTCACAGTTCCACTCAGGCCGTAACAATTTGCTCTGCTCTCTCGTCAGTGTTGTACGGAGACAGCCTGGAATGGAACCTCCAGTGAAAGGTTCTTGTACACTGTTACACCTCCTGAAGTTGGGGCTCCTGTTTCTCTGCTCCTTCCTATCATCGAGGAAATAAGAGGGGCCAAATTGAGTTGGTTTCCTTCCTCGAAAATAAGGGACTCTGCCTATACAGCCCAAGTCCTGCTCAACGCTAAACAAACAGCAGTGGCTTCCAAGTGATGGGATCTCACTGCAGCACAATGCCATCTGGGATAAGCCTGGGAAGGGGATGAGGTGTTTGTCATGGCATATCACAAATGGGTTCAGTGCTCTAGGAAGGCCTTGTCTCTGGGCTGCCTTCGTGGAAAGGGCAGAAGAGAATACAGTACTGTTTTACATCAGCTTTTGAATAATTCTTTGCTTGTGTAGAAAATTGCAGCCAAGCCCTTCTTTGCAGAACAGATGCTAGAAACAACACAAGCCCCTCAAGGTGAAAAACACAAAGAACAAATGCACTCTGATGAGGGATCAGCTGCAGGGCAGCTTCTGTATGCAAGAACCTACGTTTCTCAGTCCACAACATTTCCATATCCTGAACAGCTACAGGCCACAATTCCAACAGATGGGCGAGCTCAGAAGTGATGTCTGTACTTAAAGGCATCCCTACTCTTCCCCTTGTTTCCCAGATTCTGGTGCCTTTACAGATGCTCATGAGACATCACTGCGATTTCCTTAAAGGAATTAATTGTACTATTAAAAAATAAATAAAAAACCCTCCACCACCACCCTGCAAAAGAGAACTTTTCAGGTGACAGTTCATAGGATAGCTGTGGAATAGCTTGGATGGCTTGCAACTTGCAGAGATCAGAATCTCTTCATCCACAAAGAGAAATGTACAAAAACCCAACCACCGCAGCTCAGATAAAGACAGACTCCAACGAAAACTCCACACTGAAACCTATCCAAGCTGTAGGCACTGTTCTGACAGGCTCAGAAGATGATAATCTGTGATCCTTTGGTCTGGTGACAAAGAGCACACCTCCCTAACGCTGATCTGCCCGGAGTGAGCTGCTCCCAAAACTCCAGGTGTGTGCCCACGTGCTGTGACAGAGCACCTCCGCGCCGCTGAGGCTGTTACCTGAGGTAGCCAAAGCCAGTGGCTTGTTTCCAGCAGCATTGCTTACACCATTATGAGAACTAGCACCAATCTGCTTTTCAAGTGTCGATGAGTCTCTGCTCTGATGAACTGGGCTAGGTGTGCTTCTCTGCGGGGCAGAAACAGGAGCGTTAGTGCAGGAAGGGTACTCAGAAGTCACCCGTTTAAACAAAATTCACATGCAGTAGGAGATTACCACGGAAAGCAGCTCTAATCCCTGGATAGCCCAGATTTATCATGTTTTGAGAAGAACACAGAGCGTTACGGGACACAAAGACACGCTGCCATCTGCTGCAGTGCGGCGGCACCCAGCGTGAGCTCCACACCGTGCACACAGGCTGTTCCAGCCTCAAGTTGGGCTCATCCCTCACAGCTGGGACGTCGCCCACAGACCACCCAGCTGAGGCAGGGACAGCCCTGTGGCGCAGGCAGGAAGGCGTGGGGGCTACAAACAAATCCATTGACAAATGGGATTCCCAGCTCCCGGGGCCACAAACCCTCAGAAGCTGCACTTTTCCACAAGGCAAACACTCAGCCCGTCAGCTCGAGGCACACACTTTGCTCTTCCTCCTGGCTCAAAGTACCACCGCTCCACAGACACAGGAGCACGGATAAGAGCCAGCAGGATGAACCCCAGCAGCAGCACAAAGCACTCAGGATTAGCAGCCCGCTATGGATCCCAGCACACAGCACCCCATTTCTGCCCCCCGTGATGGCACCGAGGGATGGAAAGCACTGATAATGCCTTACTCACCACCTTCTCAACACGGCTAGGCAGGACTACGCTGGCCAGAGGGATGCTAACAGGGAGCTTATTGGGCTGCACTGTGCTGAGAGGAATACTGATGGGTAGGCTGGTGATAGTTTCTCCATTACTCACAGAGGTTCTCTCTCTCAAAACCTGCGAATGCAAATGATAAAGTCATGTTCTCAACTGCAAGCTGTTACTGAAGAGACATTCTGAGCTAATGGCAATGTGCTTGTTCAGATTTCGTTCTTTTTTCTTTTCCCTCATTAAGAATTACATAATTAAGAGCGATAACTATATCACTATATATGCTCTGGAAAGCCAGGGCACGCATACAACGTGGGACAGAAATACCCAACAGCACAGAGACATATAAATTAAGGCTCCTGCTGCCCCTAAGCACAAGGGAAAGGCTGCCTTAGGCGAGCTCCTGCCCCAGTCACAGATTTGTCACAGCTCTGTGAAGAGCACTCAGCTGGCTGCCTTCATAGCCTGAGATCCTCTGAACACAGAAGATGGAGCAGTCAGAAACATTTCCATGGTAACCTCCTGTTGGAGGGCACCTGCTTGCTCTGAAATGAGCACCATGAGGATTCATGGCAGGACCGATTGCATGCTTGATTTTTTTAGTTTCCTTTTTTAATACAAAAGGCAGTCTGGTTTTCAAGTCGAAGCAGACACTCAGCAGACCAATACAGCTCTACTGCATTACCAGCATATTTGGTATGCAAACCAGCGAGTCAGAGGTGAGCACATCTTACATGGGCACCATATTCTCTTCCTCTAGCCAGTTCCTCTTACTTACTGCACCACGATTCCTGCATTCCGTGTCATTTTCCATGCCAAGCTGACCACAGACCAGAACACGTCTGCTTCTCCCAGCCTGGAAACCTTCTCTTTGTTCTAGCAGCTGCCAAGTCTCCATGCTCACACCAAAGCAGATCTCTTACCTTCTCGCCTGCAATCGGTAAGGCCGCTGGGGAAGAGGGCCGAGTTTCCTGAGGACTCAGCTTGATGCCATTGGAAATACTGGGGCTTGGATATGTAAGGCCGTTCTCTTTGACATGGTCAGCTCTGCAACAGAGGTTTGCCATCATCAGAATACGAAGCTAACAAATTCTGCTTTGCAAATACTCCTGCACCAAACCCAAGGCACCACAGCACCGTGTTTACCCAAGCAGCTGAACTGCTGGTTGTGCTGAGACAAAAACTTTAAGTGAACAGAACTCTACCTTTAAAAGTGTTTTTCCACAATCCAAATAAACCACTGTTATTAAAAATAATCATTGAATGGTTTGGGTTGGAAGGGACCTCAAGGATCACAAAGCTCCAACCCCCTGCCACACGCAGGGCCACCAACCTCCACATTTCACAGCAGCCCAGGCTGCCCAGGGCCCCATCCAACCTGGCCTTGAACACCTCCAGGGATGGACGGGGCATCACAGCCTCTCTGGGCAGCTGTTCCAGCACCTCACCACTCTCACAGCAAAGAATGTAGTCAACTTAATGAAGCCCTTCCATCAAGAGACGATGGCCCTCACCTCTGCATCTCACTCGTTGTTGCTTTTCCATTGACTGCATGGTCTTGATTCAAGTGTCTCCTTAGTGCTATTTTAGCAGGGGAAAACCTGGTATAATCAGGTAAGGACAGGCTTGCCATCCTGTCTGCCTTCTGCCTGCTGTGGTTTGGGGTGCATGGAACTATTTCTTGGTCCAGATGAGAAGTCATGTACTGAGGGGTGTTCTGCTTGGAGGACGGCCTGCTGAAAGTGTTGTGAATCTCATAGGGAGTTGCGTGGCCGTTCATGGACAGTTCAGGGCTCATGCCATTGACGTGGGGCATAGGAAACTTGGAGCACTCGAGCTCCAGCTGGAACCTGCCATGATCAGCCTCAGCATCACGGCTCAGATGGGTTTTATTCCGTAGCTGCACTGACAGTGACTCATCCGACGGCGTGTACGATTTCAGCTGCATCAGCTCCTGCTGCCTTTGGCTCTTTTCAAGTTCCACAATGCTGATCTTTAAATAAAGAAGAGGACAATGATAAAAGACCACACATAATAACTCCAAGGCATCGCAGCTCTGCTTCAATGCACCTCGCAGAACGAGTGACCCCATCTCTGGGAACGATGCAGCAGGGGTGAGCCGTGCTTTGAGGAACAGATTTCAGTGCTGCTCTGAGCCACAGCCGAGACGTGCAGGGAAGGGGAATGGCTCAGAAACTCTCACATTTCACATTTCGGAAGCAAATAAAATGTCTCTGATATAATAGAGAGAATACAGAATAACCCAGTAGTGTCAGACTCTGAAGTCACAGAGTCACACTCGGTACAGACACAACTGCACACGGTTGGATTAGCTTTAGAATTACACAAAGAAGTGAAATTCTTTCACATTTCGTTTCACTGCAGCGACATTCTGTGGGACCTCATTGCAGAAATGAGACTTCAGAAGACTTTATCTTGAAGCCACATACTATGCAGACAAGCAAGACCTTTCTTTTCACCAGGCCATGCTTTCAAATGACGTTTAATGATACATCATGATTCCTTCTTCCACAACATTACCAGAGAACGAGGTCACAGCGTCTGCTTTCTTCAACAGTTATCCACATCCTTGTTCTCCAAGCTCACCAAATCCCTCCTAACAACAGGGGCTGATCTCCAGATAAAGCAGCCACCAAGCTTACCCCCTAACACCATATTCAGCCAAGCACTCTCATCGCCCAGGAGCTGCCCTGGGTTGGTGATCCTGGAGTTGTGTTTTGCTCTGTACCTGCAGTTCCAAACAGTGCTTTTGTTTCTCAGAAATCTGATTCTTCAGCGCCTGCTTCTCCTTCAGCAAGTTCTCCAGTGACAGCGTGGACCAATCTAGCTTCAGCTCTTCACAGCGTGCCTTCAACTGCAGAGACATGAGATAAAAGGATCAGAGACAGCTCTCAGCATTTCACACTGCTACAAGGTGAAAGGCACTCACCTCTCAGTAGGGTAACAGCAAGAAGGCTCTTAACGGGCCCAAAACTCCCCCCAGCTTAAGCCAAAGGGGCACAAAAGGGCCCTGTAGCACTTGTGTCATGTGGGAGGAGGTGAGCTGGGTCGTTCTCAAACCAGTTATCACTCACCAGACCCACGACCAGATCTCTCCCTGCCTACCTTAAAGTCTGAGTTACTGAGATGAAAACTATGAGCATATCAGCTCGTGCTCTTTCCCCCTCGGATGAACGACAGCATCACTGCTGCTCAGACACAAGCTCTGTACGCACCAGCTGCAGGCTCTGGTTCCTGAGTTCACTGTTATCCTTCTCCAGCTGTTTGGTCTGTTCTTTCAGCTGCTGATTGTGAGCAGAGATTTCCTTCTGTGCCTGAATCAGGTCGTTGTATGTCAGAGCCTTCACTCCCAACTAGGAGACAGGAGGAGGGGGGAGAAGGAAAGAGATGGCTCAGTAAGGCCTTGACACACCAACTCCAGATAATGGCCCATTCAGAAGCAAGGCTGAGGAGAGCTGCAGCTCCCAGGAGCCCCCCTGCACCCCTGAGGCACTTCATTATTATTAGAGGATGAGGAAAAGGGACAGAAGTGCATCATTTGGAGCTGCTGTTCAGCCTTCAACCTGGAAATTGGCATTTCATTTCTTGCCAATCCAGAGCACTATTTTTGTACAGAGCCTCTACACTTCCTCCTGCACTTCCAACCCAAACTTAATCAAACAGTGAAAGAGATTCCATACGATTTAGCAAAAAGGAGGCTGCTCTGAGACCTAGCACTACTCTGGCCTCATTTTTCCCCAACCCATCTGCATGCAGATGACCACAAGCACACGCTGCCACCAGACCACAGTCACCTCATCGAGCTTCTGCTGAAAAAGACGTTTGATTTCCTCTTTCTGTGCCTGGCAGTGGGTGAACAACTGCTGTGCCGTCCCCAGTAGCTGTGCATTCTTCTCCTGGAAGTGGGAAAAGACACAACACGCCTTTAGCACCAATGCAGCACGGTCCAGCTCAGTCAACTGTTCACATTTAGTCTGCACAGCAAACTGGGAGTGAATCTGAGACCCGTGAACAAACCCAGCTCTGTGAGCTGCATTTGTCAGCTTTGCTGAATATAAGGAAGCTGGAAACAGCTTTGAAGTAGTTTCTTCCACTCAACGGTAAAACATAATCAGGACAGTCTTAATTCATTTTTACCCTCCTACTGCATTGTAAAGAAGTAGTAATAATCACATCCTACAGAGCAGAACTGGAACAGATTATCTGCAGGAAATCTGTTACTAAAAAGGGAACAGAATCCGAATCTCCAGAGCCCCTGCTCAGAGTTTTCCTACACAGCACTCAGCAAATGGAAACACGCTGTGGGGGAGGTGGGAGGAAAGCCAGGAATCAGGCAAAGCACTGGGAGCAGTGATGACAACACGATGCCTGCAGCCACCAGAGCCCTGTGCTGGCAGAGCACCTCCTGCCCATTGCATTCCTCAGCTCGATACTTGCTTGCTCATTTCATGGTCACACACACGTGGGCAGCAACGTGCAGGGATGGGGCTGCCTGAGGAGCCTCATTTTTCAGCTCCCCGTAGAAAGGGAGAAAAAAGTTCCCACTTTTCTCCGACTTCTGCTGTTGAAGCCAAACAGGAATTGTGCAGAAACTGAGCTGTGACTCCGGAGAAAGAGGAGGAGAAGGGCACAAAGTGTCCTGATTTCCAAGCAGTCCATTCCGATCCAATGCATGCAAGAAAACACCGGGCCCAGCGGGCAGCTGAGTGGCTGCAGTGCTAACCTGACCTCCCCTGTGCTGCTGGTATGGCTGCTCTGCTCAGCACCAGCTGTCTCCTTCAGCCTTGCCAGACAGCCAAGCAGCTGACAGCTCCATCTAAGGGTACTCGGTGAACCAGCAGCTCACACAGCTTATTTTCAAATTGTATTCACAAAGGTTTTCTCTTGTACTGTAAAAACCCTCATGTTAGAGGGAGTTACTGAACAGCACACAGCAGTGCCTCGCCCTGAGTTCTGCTGCTGGGAAGTTTACCTAGCTGTGCTCTCAACACGGAGCTCTGAGTGCTTTAATGGAGTGCAGCAACCCCATTAAAAGCATCTTTTCATCCTGAATTTCCCATTTCCATGTCAAAGTACAAAGCAGCTGTCAGGCACCAATGTGAGCCCATTACCTTCCCCCACTTCAGTTCTGTTTCCAGAGCACAGCACCATACCTGCACACCAACGCTTCTCATTCTGTTTTCTGGGCAAGGAGGTGAGTTAAATTTATGGTGACTTTTCTGACAAGTACAGAACAAGAAGGGAAATAGGCTGCTTCAGGAAAAAGCTGAAAAATAAACTGCAACAAGCAAAGGGAAAAATCCATCTCCAGGAAGAGCACAGCAGCGCCAACTCATCGCCAGCAGTGAATGGGGCAGCACAAGTTGGCCCTTCTCAATTGGAAGAAGAGTTCCTATGATGGAAGATCCCATAATCACCAGGACTGGCTCAGAAAGCACTTAAATTATTCATTGACTGAGGTGAAGCAATACAAGAAAGGCTGTTTCAGCAGTAAGTCTCCTCCCTCTGCTGGAGGAACCGCTCCACAGCACAGCAAAACGCAGCACTGGGCAGCAGCTCTCGGCCCATGTGCACAATACCACGAATTTCAACTTTTCCCACCCATGTAATCTTTCTAATCAATCAACATATTGCCATTATTAAGTGATCAGACAGAGCATCCTTTAGCTGGGAGACAGGTGCATTTATTTCTGACTGCAGGCTTCAGTTTGCCACACGTTTAATCAACCATTCTGATGCTCAAGCACTCAGGATTCGTTGAGGCTTTGACAGAGGGAAAAGAGTAAGATGTCAAAAACCAGAAGCTTCCTGCATGTGAGCACACAGCTCTGACTGTCAAAAAAGAGGGAAAAACAGAGAACTGAGGCAAGCCTTCCCTGGCCACGTGCACTGCAAGCAATGCATCTTCCCAGTTTGCAGACAGGACATTCAAGCACGCAAAGACTGACGAAGCCAGCAATTAAATCCCCGTGCATTCATCCTGATTAGCACTCTGGCTGAGTCTCTGCCATCAGCCTGTGCTGCACTGCTGTTCAGATGCACACAGCATCGTTTCCAGGTATCTGGTAGCCCAGCAATTTTGCTTAGAAGCATGATAAATACATATAAACCCACCTTCTCCTGCTCCAGTAACTGTTGCAGACTTGCTTTATATTGAGGAGTTTTCATGTATGCCATGAACTGCATGTACTGGATCTTAAAAGAGTCTGCAAGGAAATAAGGAAATTATGTATTTTAAGCATAAGAAAGCTCCTGTTTTGGTCCATTTGCTCCCCTGCCCCCCAGGCCCTGCACTCACTGGCTTTTTGTTTGGACTCCCAGTCAGACCAAGCCGTTAAAGATCAATGTAAAGCATGCTGAAAACAGTCCCCTGAGTGCAAGCTGAACTCTGGGATCCATCAGCTGCTTTTCATAGGTAACCCAATGGAAATTATGAGAAGTGCACTCAATAGTGAAGCTCAGAGGAAGACAGTGGGTGCTAATGGTGTGCTTGCATGATGAAAGGGGAGTTTGCTTTTAATACACCGGCAGCAGAAACAACACAAGACCAGCTATGAAAACCCAAACCCTTTCTCCAAAGATTACTTGCAGTAATCCTCACCCTCCTTTTACTTCTATGATGCAACACACCTTCCTCAGCCCTCCTGGGACATTACATCACAGCTGCAACCACACCATTGCAGCCATCCTGCTGCCATCACAGGCAACCCGAGCACGCAATGGGCACTGCAAAGACTTTTGCATCAAGGTTTCCTCCAGAGAAGTGTCAAATTCAGACAGCACCTCATTTTTGTTTGACTTTGCTGTGCATTTTACAGGGAGAACAGAGCTGCTGTCATTTAAGAGAATGGCTTCATTTAAACTAAAGTCATTTCTGATGAGCTATTTGCACTGAAAGCTATTTTGGATTCCTGCTAAACCCCAATTTTTTTCCCTTTTGTGCCAAGCTGAAACAAAATCAAAACCAAACACAGACCAAGACAGCAACTTCAGCAGCAAGATGACCCCCACTCTTCTTCCTCTTCTGCCACAGTGTCTGCCCATTAAAAGCCCTCTATGTTTAGAAACCCTGAAGCAAAGGTCTCCTTCACAAACAGTGATGCCACAGCCTTACCTAGCAGCTTCTGTAGTGCAGGTGGGGTGGGTGTCACCAGCAGCTGGTTGGATGAATGCCGTTGCACTTTAGGAGGTAGTTGGTAATATGGACTATGAGGTGACTTGTATGCATCTGAAGGGAGAGACACGACAGCCATTCAGTTGGGAAGGGCACCCAAGTTTCACCATTCCAAAGCATTCACCTGCAGTGAGATTTGGTAACTGTGCTGGACAGACACACTGCAACCAATTGTTTGGAAGGGCAACTGCAGCGTGGCCTCAGAAGGCAGCAGTGAGAACAGGGCAGCTCCAGCTCCTGGCCAAGCACCTCCAGGCTCACAGAGGCACACCTCCACTTTGCTTTGGTGGTAAGGGAGAAGGTATGGCACAAACCACACTAGAGCAGCACTAAGGAAGAATGAGCTCAGTGCATCCGTTATTTACGCTCACACAGAGGGACAGGCTCCTCTGAACTCACCCTGAGGAGAGGATGAAGATGTCTGTGACACAGTTTGAGCATGCAGAAGTTCTAGTGCAGTTTGGTTCTTCTTGGTCTTGCGCTCTGTATTTGCAGTGTTCATTTTCTTGGGACGCCCTCGCTTCCTGCCTGCCATTTTCCTTCCTTTTTTGCTCAGTTTTTTCTTCCGTGCTTTAGAGGGAGATGGCTTTTTAACAGCATTTGCCCCAGCTTTTTCTTCTTCAGCACCAGAATCCTAAGAGATTTTTTTAAAAGCAGAAAGCCCTTCGGTTATCGCTACCTACACAAGCAGCATTTCTTTTAAGCAAGCATTCATAACTTTGTTTAATACATTCATGAAAGTCAACTGTTCAACAGGTTGCCAATGAACTCAGCTTGCTTGGAACTACAGCTGTCCCCAGCAGCCCAGAAGCTGTGCTAATTCCCTCGCTGCACAAAGCCAAGTTTAACTCTTGTCTAAGAAGAGCTGGTTGCTCTCCTGTTGACTCCACAAGTCAATACAAGTCCTGCATAGCCTTCAACTGACTTCAGTGAAAGTCAGAACAGATCCACGTGTTTGTGCACAGACACTGCATTTCAAACAGAGTCACACAACTGAATGAGAGAGGAAATGTTGCCAAAGATACTCAGCAACCCTGAGCAAGACTCAAGGAAGAGCTCTCCAAGCAGCACTGAAGGCAGCTCAACCAGCTCTGCCATTCATGTGGCAATGCCTTTTTTTTGCCCCAGAATTATCAGGGCAATCCCCAAGTGTCACTCAGTCCTTTCCTCAGCAACAGTGACAGCAGTTCACACTGAATGCATTCCCCCTGCAGGACAGTCACCTTGTTTTCTTGAACCTTTGTTGGAGTAGTTGTGTTGCTCTTGTTTTCTCGCTGTTGACGACGTCTAGCTGCCTCTTGTTCCTCCTGAACAAACGTTTTAGAAGAGTCAATGACTTGTTCCTGTGTTCCTCCCTTTCTAACACAGATCCCTGCCTTTTCTCTCTTGGCCCCAAACTCTCCCCTCACTCCACCCCACCTTCCCAGACCACTCACTGCAGTTAAAGGTCCCTTACTAAGCACTTTACCCACACATCCAACATTTCCTGTACCACTACATCACTACAACAACAATCTCATGTGATTTGAAGTCAAACCATTCATCATCACCCCATTCAACCTTCACCAGGTCTGCACAGCAGCAACTTCTCAGCTTCATTTTCTGCTAGGCATACAGACAAGGAATTTCACTCTGCTCATAACGTCTTTCTGGTACCTTCCAGGTGAGGTTAAACTTGCATAAAGATTCAGACACCTTCTGCAATCTGAGCAGCGTATCATCCAGGCTCTATAATAAATGGCAGATCGAGGCATCCTCCCTTTAAAAACAAGGTAGTTCTACAGCACATGGATGCCACCTGATTTTCAGTTTCTTTTTGCCCCTCGACTCTGAGAAGTCTTTTCTCCCAAGCTTGAACAGTCTGCAATAACCGAATCCCAAGTCTGCTTGCAGGCCTTGCTAAGTAAATCTATGTTCTCCCCAAGTTTTAAGCTTCACGGCCTTGTTTTGTCCCATCACTGGGAACATCACTGCCATCAGTTGTTTCAGCTGGATAAAGCCCAACAGAGCCCCCAAAATCCTTTGGCACTTTAATTCCACGTGTGACAGCACAGACCACAGTGACTGCCAACACATTCTGTGCTCCCAGTGGAAGTCCCAGCAGCGTCAGCTCAGAGCACTCCTCACTTCCATGCAGAGGAGCACTGGGAAAGATTCAAACTATCATTTCCTCCTTAAAACTTCGGTGCTTTAATGAACAAATAGCTCTCTGTAGGTCTCCAGGGCAAGTGAACAACACCTGGAGGCTCCCCATTAATTAGCCATTATAGAGCTCTTGACTGTGATTGTATTAGGGCTCGATGGTGTGTGATGCTTCACTTCAATTAGCTCCGTGCACACCGTTCCTCACTTAGCAAGAAGATTTAATTTTCTGCCCATTCTGTACACCCTGAAGAAGTGACCAAGGCCCTCCTGCTGGCTTCCCCATTACTCTGAATTTTCTACAGAAAACAGCTGAGACTTACCCTGAGTTTTGGATTTTTGAGACTAGAAAAATAGTTTTCAAGCTGCAAACACAAAGATGATAATTTTGTAAGTCAAGACTGAAGAACACATAAGAATAAACATTAATTTAAGATACATGCAGAAATTCTGACTGCTTCTCCCCCAGTAAAGGACACGGGCAGGACAAAACCCAACAAGGCTCTATCAGCTCCCCACGGCCCATCCTCAGCTTGAAGCTTTGTGAGACCTACCTGCACTCAGCAGAAGGCTGTGTGCAGCAAAGCTCCTTCACTTCACCCAAGTATTCACCCACACTATGGCATATCCTCTCCCAAAAGCACTATCAGACTGAAGCAGGCTTAGAAAATATCTTACTTTCCTACAGCAAGAAGCACTGGTAAGTTGGTGCTTCTACAGAGTTGTTTTTGTTTTCTTTAATTAATCATAGAATGGGTTGGAAAGGACCACGATGACCCTCTAGGTTCAACCCCCCTGCTATATGCAGGGTCGCCAACCACCAGACCAGTGGAAGAGAAGAACAGTGGATGCATCAGCACTGCCACTGAGCTCTGCTCAGTCCTACAGAGCCCATAGAGCAATCAGAATGGAGAAGGACTGCCGAGGAGCAGCGTGCTGCAGCGCTGTGTGATGCTGACACTTTGCTCTGTGCAGGGGCAGCAGGCAGAGCCCCAGCCTGCAGTGATACTCACTATGGTTCGGTCAATAGTATGCAGGTAGTAAGAGACTGGCTTCCCAGTCCACGACACAGAGCCTTTCAGTGGTGACAGCTCCACGACTCTCATTATAGTGCCAATATCTGCGGGAAGAAAGGCAAGTTATTCACTCATTGCATGCACCCAGCAGAAAACCTAGGAAATTCTGAAGCTCTACCCTGTGTCTTGGACTGCTTACAGAACACCATTAATCCAACCCATGTAAATGGCACTGTATTCAGATTGAGGACAAACCAGTTTGACATTTGCTTTCTCACCCATGTTTGTTTTGTTCCCTAGAATTAAGAGGTCTGGGACGTGCCCGAATATTTCCAGAGCCACTGAGTATGGAGGCTGCCTCTGTCTTCAAGCTTTATGCTTTCCACTGTGTTTTTTACACTGTTTCACTGCTCATCCTTGAAGGCAAAGCAGCAGCCAGGCGCAGGGGCACCAACCCCCTCCCAGCCAAAGCTCCATCAGCTACTCCTCCATCACTTCTGTATCAGCACGACACAGCAGCTGGAATACACAGAACTGCAGTGCTGTGGAAGGTGGGGACCAACTGGTAGCTGGGATCCCAGCTTTTAAAGGGGAATAAAAGAGCACATTGGCCACTCTGCCTCCTCTCTGCTATTTTTAATGACCACAGACTGCCAAACCCAGCACAGAGGGAGCTGAGGCAGCCAGCAGCCAGCATTTAATGGTTAATGCAGCTCTGGATGCCATGGAAAACAGCATCAAGAAAGAAAATGGCAGTTTTGTCTGCCCAGTGCTCCAGACACAGCAGTTCAGTAAAAATAACTCACAATGGCACTATTTCAGTCCAGCACCTGAATGGCATCCTGCAAATGGCCGTTCTTGAAAAGCAGCTAACCAAAAGCAGTTGCCAAAAAGAAAACAGAGGCAGAGCTCTGCAGCTCGGGATGTTACTTTGTCACACTGCACAAGGAGGGGCACGAAGTGCTTTTTAAACCCAAGGAATGTTTTACTCTGGACACAGAAGGCGCACGTTGGATCATCCCACTGCTTCCATAGCTTTCAACAATAAAAACCGAAAGAAGGCCAGAAGCAAAACCAACAGCACAGCACTGAGCAACCCCCAAACCTCATCCAACTGCAGTTTGCACGCTTGCAGAGGATAACATTGGCAAACAGCACGTCTGCTGTGCTCAGGTGGAAAGAAAGGAAAAACAACAGTAAGACAGAGACAGCAATGGGTGTGGATGGGATGGGGCTGCTCGACCTGCTTGCAGCACTGAGGTCGAAGCACTCAGCAGCTGAGCACATCAGCATCAGTGCTTCTTACACCACAGGTGCTGGGATTTACCTTGTCTGCTTTTTGTTTGAGTGATTTAAGAGGCATTTCCCTTTGCTATGTGTGCTACAGTAACACAACTTTCCTTCTTAATGACTCTTAATGAAGAGCAACAAAAGATGTGGTTGTGTGAGACTGCAGCCTAACGTGAACAGCAGCAAGAAAAAGGGCAACCGTACCACTCAAGTTTCGACTGTTAATTCTGAAATTCAGAGGTGCAAAAGGTTTTGAGGACACAATTCTCCCACCTGGAAAAGAGAGAAAACAGCAAATCAGTTTCCAGTTTCCTTTAGAAATGACCAGTTATGAAGCACAACCTCGCAGAGCCCAAAATACGCATTATTCATTTTGGCACAGAGCTGTCCTCTGGAAGCCACCACTTCTCTGTTCATTCCACACTTGATTTGCTTTTTTTCCCCCCAGAATTTCTTATTTTTCCATCTTCTGCCATCACCCATCAGAACTGTGATTATCCAAGTGGTTACAAGGGAAGAAGAAGCCCCCAGAGCACCTCGGGTGACATCAGGGCTGCTCCTCGTGGAGCATACAAGACATCACCTGTGACTGCGTCCCCATTTTAACACTAATTAGTTAACTAATTAGTACCCAGTGTGACAGTTTTAAATGGGAGAACCCGCTAATTGAATTCAGCATGCAACGAGGGAAGCTGCACACAGCCCCCACAGTGGGAAGGAAGCTCTGCAGTGCCCACAGCTGGGTGTCCCCACCACTAAGTGTCCCAGCGTGGGAACCCCAGAGCATGTCAGCAAGGCTCCCAAAAGCTCTGCAGGAAGGCTTAATGTGCAGAGTCCTTCCCAAGACATCGCCTGGCTGGGAGGCTCCTCGAGCTCCTCTCCAACCCAGAAGCCATGATGTGATTTTAAGTGATCACATGGATTTCTGGCTTGTGTTTGTACAGAAGAATAGAGCTGCAGGAGTCCCCACAGCGGTGCAGCCACTTCTCTGCGCGGCTCAGAAGGAAAGCCACCAACCTGGCAGTCATCAAAAAGGTGGGGAGTTGGACTGGTTACCTTCCTTCATGTTGGCAAATCGCTCCTTCAGTTGGTGATCCACCTCAGGACCAAAGGCAAAATTATTCACAAAAATAACACTGCAAGATAACGGTGGAGTTAATAAATGGGGACGGGTGTGTGGCACCAAGCACACCCACACCACCAGCCCCACGCCAGCTCTAAGCATTCAAGCCCCTATGAACCCAAAGAACAAAGAGTTTGCTCCTGGCACTGCCACACAAAGCAGCCCATAACCCACAGCATTGCCCAGATAATTACATTTAAAACGAGGAGGGCAGCCTGCTCTGACAGCTCCTCCCAGCACACAGCTGGCTTTGCACCGCGTCTTATTCATTACATCAGCAAGTTTCAGCGCAGAGACAATGTGCAAAATATTTTCACTCCTCTCCCATGATGCGAGCAAACATCAACATGACGACTGAGACCACGCTCACCACACACAGGAAACAATCCTCACACATGCACGGCTCATCCCATTCCTTGTTCACATTTAAAGCACAACACAGCTGCTCTTCTGCCCCTAGGAGGAAAGGTTTGCACCTCCCAGTGTTTTCACTGCCCTAAACCCTGCACTGCACGCTGATCCCAACTGAAGAGCTGCATTTCTGCCTGGGGTAGGAAATGCAGGGGAGGGGGAGTGATCTTGAAAGCACTGCTCACACGGGAACGCAGCACTCGCACGTATTGGGAAAGAAGCAGAACACATTAAGGATCCAAAAAGAAAAGAAAACATCATTTCTGGGGCTGTGTCCACATGTCTTTGTGCTGCTCCCTACCAGCACCCTGCACGTACACACTGCGTGCAGTGCTGGCACATGGCTGCAGCACAAAGAACCGATTCCCTTGCAAGAAGGCTGCTTGCAAACTCCCCTCCTCGTGCCTCTATGCATGAGACGTGCTCAGTGAGGACAATGTGTCTGTGAGCAGCAGCCAAAGTTATTAAAAACCACAGATTAAAAAAAAAAAAGGGAAAGAAGAAATATGTGCTAAAAAAAAAATAAAGTGAAAGGCTTGTTGCTCCTTGCTGCGGGAAATTTGGGAAGCCCTGCCTGGCAAGTGAGGCTCACGAGGGTTTCTTCCTGCTCCTTCCCAACACGTGCCAGAAAAGAGGCCTCGCAGCACAGCCAGGCACGTTAATGGGACCAGAAAACATCCAGGAAAGAAAAGGGAAAAGGAGAAGTGGCCTCGTGTGTTTCTTAGTGCTCCTTCTGGCACAGCAGAGCTCTGCAGCCCCAGGAGGGGACCTGGCACTGAGTGCTGCCCTGTTAACGGCAGCTCCTGAAGCTTGGTGGAGGCACACTGTGATGGAGCACACTTACAGCACTGTGATGGATGCAACCCTCCACAGATCTCCACAGGAAGAAACGTTCGAGATAATGAGTTTGAATGAATCCCCAATTTGAGCTGGAATTGATTCATTTGCTCTTTCGCTGTGTTATGTTTTAACATGGGAATTGAGCCTGGCTGCAGGAACTCGCAGCCACGGTGACCCCTGAGACAAGTGAGAAGGAAAGGCAGAACAAGCAGGGGTCTCTTCTGAGTTGTACAGCTAGAATTTATCTTGGATACGCCCCTGGGTGTGTATCCCAGGACATGCATTTAAAGCCATTCCTCTCAACAGAAAACAGGATCTGAAGAGGCCAATGCAAGGGCTGGCAGATCAGCTTTTGGTATTTGCTACGGAAATTCTATAGAGAAGCTGGCCAGCCTCCCAATTTCCATCATACAGCCTCCCAAGCACTCAGTTCATAAAGCAGCATTCATTCAATGGCTGTACTGTACCTTGTGTTTGCAATTCTCTCTCTCCATTCTTCTGAGAGGAAGTCACCTCTTTCCAGCTTAAAGATAAGAAAAGAGACAAGAAACACAAAAACCACACAGATCAGTAAGTTAATGCTGCTCCTTTCCGTGAGTCCCTTCCCTTTCTGCAGCCTCAGCCCAGTGACCCCACTGCAGGACCCCCCCTCTGCTCCCACCCTCCGATGGGGGAGTGGGGAAGGGTCTCTGAGGCCCAGCACACCTCCCTGATGGAACACAGGGGAACCCCCACAGCTTTTCTGCACAGTGTTTGGATGTAAGAAGGGAATCTCAGGGCCATGCTGCTGTGTGGTGCCACGAGATGAAGGCAGCTTGGAGGAGGAAGGTAAGAGAGGGAGAGAAGAGGCAGTAATACAATGAATTAACGGCACCCTGTGAAGGGCAGGAAGATGATGGATGTGTCACAAGCTCACAAACATCCCAGCAGCACCGGTGACTGCTGAGCATCCTTCTTCTGCACCTACTCCTTTGTTTGGAAAGGCACGAGCGCTTTGCTTGCCAGCTCCAATTCCAGCTGAGTGACAGCCACGTGGCACCACAGCATCGAGCTCTCTCCAAGCCTCCACAGCTGAGCCAGCAGACCCACAGCAGCAGAGCTGGGTGCCTTCCCTGCAGCCTTCCCTTGCAGCAGAGCAGCCTGACCTCACCCACAGCCACAGAAATGATGGCAGAGGCGCTGCGCCGCGGGGCCAAGAGGAGCACGCAGTGAGTGGCCTTGGGAAGGGAGCAGGAACTCAGCACAGAGCCCAGCGTGCCCGAACCAGCTGAAAACAACGGGTGACAATAACCCAAAGTCAGTCTGCACCACCCAGCAGATGGATGGAACAAGGTTTTAAAGCACAAGGACCACCTACAGCACCACGCCTGCCCAGGGGGCGATGCACTTCTTGATATCCCTGCTGCAATAAGAACAAAGCACACGTTGGAGACTGAGCTCAGAGAGATCCAACCCAGCCAAGTGCTGCCAGACGTTGCCAAAACCTCCAGCAAACACTCAGTGCAACCTCAGAACAGCTCTGAAGGATGTTATTTTTCTCAGCTAATGCAGTGAAACGTTACTTCTGGGGCTCTACGTGCCTTTTTTAGAGATTGTGACCATCTCTAGATTCTTCTAAGGGATAATTTTGTTTTACTTTTGTATCCTGGTTGAGTAATCAAGACACAGCAAAAGAAAACCCACAAGCAAGGTAACTGTACTTATTGAGCAAGGCTTTTTGCAAGGCAGTTTCTATACTGTTGCCCTCCATGCAATGCAGTCAGTTCCCAATATCTTCACAGACCAACAGGAGAAAGAAAAACACTTCAGAAATAACGAGGTGTGATGATAAAACCATAACCTTGCAAATGAACAAAGTACCAGAATGACACAAAACCATTCTGAAATAGGAAGGTTCATCTGAAGGTCTTGAAATCCAACTTGTTTGGATCCTGACTGACTTGGATCCAGTTACACCATGCTGTCTTACCTACAGGGTTTGGAAAAGAATGAGCATAGCCCAAATCTCCATTCCTTCACCCAATAGAACCTTGGGGGTTGGACTCGATGATCTCTGGAGGTCCCTTCCAACCCCTACAATTCTGTCATTCTGTATGGAAGATGCTCCCCTCGTCCACTTTTGCACAATACAGACATGTTGACATTCAAACAAAGCACAGCACTGCTTAAACCCTTCCATCTTGGTGCTGTAATGCCACCCTCGCTCCCACTTCGCCAACAGTTGAGGGAAAAATCTCACCAGGAGAATTAAAGTACTGAAATAACCAGATGGTCCCCTGTGGTTGGGAGAAAACGGCTTGTTTTTCCCCTCTGGGTGGCAGACAGCGATTCCTGGGTCAGTCAGCTGCATTCTAAACAGTGTACAAGCAACCTGGCTGGGCTATTTCTGACCACCCTCTTTTTTACCCGCTGTACTGGGGAGCAACAGGGTCAACAGAGCCAAAGGACGGCTTAAGGAAAGCCAACATCAGGAATCCAATGAAATTCCCCCTGAATTCACGCTCAGTCCATGGCTAACATTAATTCTGAGAGCAAAACAACAAGGGGGAGAGCAATGCCACTCCTGCCCGGGTGCAGCAGCAGTGATGCTGACATAAGGGATCCCTGCACAGGGATGCACTCAATCTCATCCCCCCAGTGTCCCAACCCCCACTGCGCTCCTCCTCTCCCTGAGAAACATAATCTGCTTAGTAAATAATGAATGGAAGGGACCATCTGTAATGCAGATATTTTCATCTGATTAGACAATGCAGGAGATGTGCTTTACCTAAAAGGATAATTAGCTGCTGAAATCCGCTTCAGAGAGCTGCCAGCCAGCACTGCTTCTAAACTTGGAAGGCAGAACAGGTTGATATTCAGGTTCTTGCAATGGGTAGCTCTGCTCCATGGAGAGCACAGAGCACGCTTAGCAGTGTCCAGCACACGGAGCAGAGCAGCTCAGGAAGGCTGAGCCCACCTTCCTCTGAACAGGTTGCCCAAAGAAGCAATGAGTGCCCCATCCCCACAAGGACCCGAGGCCAGCAGATGGGTTCTGAGCACCCGGAGGAGCTGTGGGTGTCCCTCCTCAATGCAAGGAGTGGGACCAGACAGCCTTCAGAGCTCCATTCCAGCTCAGCTTGTCCTCCGACTGCTCGGAGGAAGGCTTTGTTCTCACCCTGCACACACCAGAGCCATAAATTCGCACGCAGCTCTCCTCATTCCAGCAGCCTCCATGCAAACACTTGGCTCAGAAAAAACCAACACAGTCCATTCTGCCTGGTAAAGTACACACGGATATTTTTAGGTTCCTGTTCTTTTCAAAAATAACTGGAGGCATGGATCCAAACCTCTGAAACGTGGCATCATTTCAAAGCCACAGGGGATGTTTGGAGGCCCTTTTGAATACCAAAACATTGCGTTTCCCGCTGAAATAGGGCATTCAAAAATATCTGGGACATGCAGCTCTCCTGCCTCCTTCTCACTGTTGAGCAATGGGATTTTTATGCACAGTGATGCCAGTCACTGCTCCAAAGCAGCAGCTGCAATCAGGCGCGGAGCAGCGATGCTCCTCCTGCACAAATCAGTGCTGAAGCTCAGAATGGAGACCAGGCTGCACGGGGCACTGGGCAGCCAATGGCAGCAGGTGGAATGGATGATCTGTAAGGTCCCTCCAAGCTGAGCCACTCTGTAATTCAGCCACCTCCTCCTCCTGCTCTGCTGAATGGCCTCAGCAAAGCAGCACAGGGGCACCGAATGTTACTTCAAGGGCAGATGACTTTCTGCAGGCGGTGCCCCACGTGCCTGGTGATGGCTGTGACTTGGATCTACATGAGGATATTTACAGCTAGAAACCATGAAAACCCAACCATCTCTTGACTGCAATGCTGCTTTTTAATGTGGTGGCTGCACACATGCAGAGATCCCCCAAGGCCCTCTGAATTACCCAGACCTCATCACCTCAGAAATGTCTCCAGTTCCCTTTGTGTAACAGTTTGCTTTAAAAGAATGGGGAGAAGCTGATCTTGGAAACTTCTGAGTGCAGTGGGCAGAGAAATGAGCAGATAAGAGGAGCTGAAAGGAAATGGGACACTGGCATAATGCACAGAGCTATAATGGATTCTCTCTCCGTACAACAGAGGGGAACAGCAAAGAGTATTCATTAACCCTCACTGGTTGAGAATCAGACGTCAGGGAAGCATTGGAGCAACTGAAACTGAACGATAAAGGCATAAGGATGCAAATAATTAAAGCAAGGTGAAACGTTTCAACTGAATATAAAATGCTGAGAAGGAATCCTACCTGAAAGTTACTACAATGATTTTCTTTCCCCAGTCAGTTAGAATCATGAGACTGAGCAGCCTGTCTTAAAATGAAACTCAGCCCATTTAGAAACAGCTTAGTGAGACAGGATGACCCACACAGGCTGGAGGTAGGAGATGCCCCATGTCAGCATACGCTGAGCAATCCTTCTCCCACTCCAGAATGCAGAATGCAGTTGGGGAGCTGCAATGATCACCCACTCCAAAGAGATTTTCTTCTGCCATTTGTTTACCGCTGTGGACAAAACGCAATGGAAGCTCTCACGACTGCCTAAAACATCAGGGCAGAACCCCCAGGTGAAGCTCAGCTGATTGCAGGCTGTTCCACAACCCAGCAGATGGAATTTTGGGACCTCATTTTCCAGAAAAGCAGAATGCACAACGGAAACAAGGAGAAATTTTATTCTGAATACTTCTTCAGAAAGCAAAGTTATAAAATCTAGCAAAAGCGAGGAGCTTTGTTTCCATATAGCACTGGATTCCGTCGCTTGGAATGAGCAATATGGAAATGCTTGCTGCCTAAGGCAACCAATATGCTTCCAATATTTATTCCAAGTTCTTCCCCTATTCTTTAAATCGCGCAGCTCATAGCAGAGTATCTCCACTAACAGCTCCTTTCATGTGATGCCAGCTGGGTGACACAATGGAAAAATGCCATATGGCCACTTCACGAAGAGCGAAGCATTCGCAGTGTTTCCACAGCAGGAAAGAGTTAGCAGCTCAATATCAATGCTGCTACAAAGCAGCCCCACAGCAAACCCAGCACATTGCTGGAGGGGCCCATGCTACCCAGCCAAGGCATGTCAGGGAGAAAGTGCACAGAGGTGGCACTGTCACCTTCTCAGCCCAATTCCTAGTGGGAGAGCATCCTTCATCTCTTGTCAGACCCATAGAAAGGGCTCAGGGCTGCAGCAGAGCCCCGGAAGATTGAGATTGGCTTGCTGCAATGATCTGCCATTTCGTTTGATCCCACGCTGCTGAAATGAGGAGTGTTGTGTGGTTCAAACCACTGCAGTAACGCAGCAATGGCTCTGCTGAAAGGAAAAAAGGAGAAGTTCCCCAAAAATGTGCAGCCTCTGAGCAAAAAGAGCATCCTTATGTCTCTGGGCAACGAGGGAACAGCCCTGACCCATCCATCCTCTTTCCTGAACATGAGGAAGAGGCAGAGAAGCACCAACACTGTATTTTAAGAGCTCCCAGTGGGCTGCTGCTGTGCTGTGACTACAGAGATTTCCCCACAGGCAGGCGATTAGCTGGAGAGCAGCTCCTTAATGACGAGAAGGAAAGAAAAAGAAAAGGGGTGGGAATGACACCAAGCAGCCTATGGACCTGCAAAGCTTAGAAGTGTTATTCTGGAGTGAAAAAGACATCTCAGAAGTGGAAAGCTTCTGGATCACATGCCCCCAGCCCAAGACAGACAGGTGCCTGTGATGCCCCCATCTGCTCCTGGTCTAGGTTCCACGCATGGAGCATCTCACCCCGACCCTTTCTGGGGGACAGCTAACTGCTTGCCATCCTTCTGAGCCCACGCACCCACCTGCAGCTCCACCTAGACTCACTGCCCTGTTACCAGTCCTGAGATCCTCTGCCTTAATCTCAGTGCTGCTCTTCATGCAGAACTTCAAACCCTGCAGCACCAATCCCACTCATCACACCTCCACCTGCCTGCAGGACATGAAGCTTCAGCCTCTGTTTCTTGCAGGAGGGCTCAGACACCTGAGCAGGGGCTGCCACATCCACACTACATGAGGGAAGTGAGGGGAAGAGAAGGCATTACCACAAAGAGAAGACACGTGGCAGCTGGACAGCACGGCCAGCAGAGCACTGGAAGGATAAACCATCCAACAACTTCTGAAAAGCCCTGAGAGCACTTCCATAACACCACACCAAGTAATCAATGAGAGAAAGAGGCCACCGGGAGGATATCTCACAGAGCATCATCCTCAGGATCAAGGAAAGGCTGGTAAGCAGACACGGCTCATGCTGCTGCTTTGCTGCTGAAGGGCTGAAGAGGGCTTTGCAAATTCTGTACATCAGCAGGGACCACAACGCTTTTCAGCTGAATTGCACTCACTGTGTATTCTGCATGTTTTTTCCCATACCATTTCATCCACTTTCTGAACTCTCTGTCCATCGTCTAGAAGAGGGAAGAGACACAAAACCACCTGTTAGGACATCTTGGTGCAGCGAGACAGCAGTGAAAGCAGAGAAGCTCTGACAGAGCTCAATAACCCCCTCCCCACCATTTTTTCCCCCATTAATACTCAAGGGATACCAGGCAGACATTCACTGCCACTTCTTAACAAGAAGATCTGCACCAGGATCAAGACAAAGCTGGCATTTTCTTCTCTCCCCCACCCTTCTCAGCAAAATTACATGTTATAAGCAATGCAAACTGAGCTGACGCTGCTTACCACTAAAAATGGCACAACCTTAAGTAGCTGCTGTGTTGTGGTGCATAATCCCACAGAGCAGGAGGCACTGAATGCATCCAATCTGAGCCCAGATAGCAAAGCTTAGACGGGTCAGCTGGGGTGAAGCAGCAGAAAGTAGCATGCAGAGCAACTGCAACAGTGAGCGGAGGGAGCACCAATGTGCCAGAGCAACAAGGAGTGCTTCCAGCTGCACCCAGACTGGGGCTGCAGGGGATGGAAGGCTGTGTGAGCCAGCCATACAGCTGGCACCAGTCTTCTACTGCCCAACTACAGGAGAAATTAACAAAAAAATTAAATAAAAAAAAAGAACAACGTGTCAAGATGGCAGTGAGGGTCCACCTGCACACCGGGTGTGAAAATTAAACTCAAGTGTCTCAGAAGATTCAAAAAACCTCCTGTATTTCCAGAATTTGACTCCAGAAATGAAGGGCCCAAATTTGGAGGCAGCAATGTGAGGAAATACAGGAGAGAGCTCTGACTACCAACATCTGAGATGTGCTGATATCCATCAGTGCAGCAGTGTGTGCAGCAGATGTGTGCTGAAACTCTTTGTTTCTTGAGCCCCCCTAAGCTGTGTGGGACAACACACCAAAGCCAGAAGTATTTTCATGTGCTGGATGTATTTTGAACTTTGATTTTTCAAGGGCAGCTTCACTAAATCAAATCCATGAGACTCTTCCTATTTAGCTGAAGGTATTCAAAGCCATCTGCATCCTTTCCTTACCAAAGCAGCCAGAGATGTGCTGCCACAGCCAATCTGAGCTAGAAACTTAATGCAATCTCTTGCACAAGTGTCTATCAGAGCTGGGGAGAACACAGCATGCAGGCAGCAGCTGCTCAGCTGCAACCAGCAGAACAGTGCTGCACAATTTGTTCGTCCCATAAACCTATGAAATATTGGTGCTCTTCTGCAACAGAAGGCAGCCCACAAGTTAATACTAATATTTAATTTCTGGGTGGTGTTTTCTGTTCTGTTTGTTTGGTTTGGTTTTTTTTTTTGTTTGCTAACCATTATCATTAAGGCCTTATGTTTGCACAGTGATGGGAAGGGGTATGATGGCAAGTGAGAACCTAACGTTCCCTCTTCAGCATTCATCTCTACACTAAGCTCACTATTAAATTCAGACAGTGACTCTCCAGTGCAACCAGGAGGCTCTCACACAGGGAATGCACGATGCTCCAGTTGGAAATTTCCACTGGGTCACAGGAGGAGAAACAAAATGGATTTTCAGATCGTTGTCTGATCCTCCCCACCACCGTGTTTACGCATTTTTGCCCACACCACTTTAAAGGAGGATCAAGGATTCGTTTTGCCTTCGTAAGGCATAATTTTCTGGCCTGCACAGACTGACTCAGCTTATTTTAACAACACGGAGGGGTACATTTCTGTTCGGTCTGCTGCAGAAAGTAAACTTGGTATGGTAAGGCACGACTAGCCTTGATTGCCTGCTTGTAGCTCGTTTGCCTCCCAGGATCCCAATGCCTTTGATTATCTCTTTGTGTCCCCATTGGCAGAGAATTAAAGAAGTTGAAAGAAAACTGCCTGCTTGCCTACACATTATGGCACTGGTGTAAGATTTCCTCTGGCTGCACAGTTACCAACCAGACAAGGCACTCACGAGCCTTGCTGGTCAGCCCATCCCAGCTTAACAACCAAGCTGAACTCCAGCTATGGGACACCAGAAAGGGGCAACAGTGCCTTAGGCACTTAAAGACAGCTTTAAAAACCTCTTGAGAACTGTTTGTCGAGTCGATTCCTTCCCAGATTTGCTTGTAGTGCTTTGGTTTCTGACAGCCCCTCTGCACGAGGGCCTTTTCACAGCCACCAGTGCAGGTGTGTAGGTGAAGCCTACTGCATCTCCTCCTGAATAAGTCCTACATCACCATGGTTAGAAACAGCTGAGCTCTCAGCAGGCACAAGGAAAGGACAAACGCTCCCCCCAGGCATGCTGCCCTCCAGGGCTTAACCTGAGAAACAAAAGCATGCACACTGCTCACTGCAAGCCACTGACCTCAGCGTATTTGGCTGGAATGTCAGCTTTCTCCACACCATAGTGATGTTTGCAGTTTGTGGCTGCAGCCACTTGAAGCACCACCTGACCCACACCTGCAGGAGAGAGAAAACAAACTTGAGAGAGGGTTCCAAGAGAGGAAAGCAAAGAGTCATTAACGGGAAACATGCAGAAAGTCCCACGAGTTCCATCTACTCTGCAATTCAAATCGTGCGTGGCTGAAACGAGCCCCATTTTCCTACAAGGTTAAATGCTAAGAACCCTCCTTCCTGTAAAAAGAATTTGCATCCTGGAGGAGTGAGCACTGCAATTTAACTTCTCTCACAGAAGGAAAAAGAAACGTGGTGTTACAGTTTTGATGCTTCCATTTTTCAGTGCTTTTAGGATAACAGCACAAGGCCTCAACACAGCAATGTTTGCACTGACAAACATGAATGGCTACTGCTGTTAAACATGGCTCGTGGTCACCATCTAACAAAGGCTCACCAACAGCTGGATTTACACCAATTTCATCAGCATTTCATCAGACTTACAGATCTCAGACTGTACTCCAGTACACATTAGCAGCACAAACAATTCCCACCTCAGCCCAGAATGATGTTGGTCTCATTCCTGAGCTGAAGACCAACCCGTTTGCCCAGCACTACGGGCACAAGCTTTCACCTGAAATGCAGCACAATGCCTGAGAACAAAACAAGCTTATTTTCCTATAGGAAATGCAGGGTGCTGCTTTAGAACACATGACCAGGTTCAACACCCAAAAAGAATTTCAGCGCCAGACCAGCACTGAAAAATGCATGAATTTCCCATCCCAGTTCTGCCTGCACTGCAAGCTGCAGCAGCGCTGAGTTGTTCCTACACCCACCTGAGCAATGCATGCCCTTGCCTCCATCCCAGCTTAAGGAATAAAAGAGAAAACAGCACTTTGATTTCTGCCTTCACAAGCGACCCCCATTCTGGTGGTGCTAAAGCAATGCCATTCCCCACCTGCTGAAGCACTCAGAATACATCCTGCCTGCGTCTGACGCATTTCCATCGCGCCATCGTGCTCCATCACCCTGCAGGTGACCACATGGGGAAGGAGAGCAAACCTGAGCAGATCCCCCATCTGCACAGAGCCACGCTGCTGCGTGAGCATCGCTGGCTGCCGGCTGGAAGCAGCGCTGCTAATTGGAGGGGTGGAACTGCTGCCTTGAAGGCCTGGCCACCACAGCGCTGCTGGCACAATGAGAGCTCTGCTGCTGTCAGGGTGTTTTGTTGGTTGGCTTTCTTTTTTTCTTTCTCCTTTCCTCCCTCCCCCAATTCCCATTTCCCATTTTATACACATGCAAATACAGATGTGCAGATTTGTGGGGTGGGAGAACACGGTCTGAGGGAGAACTGCTTCCCTGTTCCTTATTCCTGAAGGAGGACAAAGACCAAGGGGAGGATATAAACACAGTTATGACAGAAATCACAGTACAGCATCACCAGTTATTAACCTTGTCTTTCTTTGGCCCTTCTTTCTGCGCTGCAATTGCCAGCAATGATGCATACCTACATGAATTCCTCCTGCAATCTGTACAGGAGTGGCCACAGCACCTGGGGGTGCAGCCCCTGCTGTGTGCACGCAGCTCTAGGGAGGTCATTGCCATCGGTGGTAGGAAAAAATATGCTTTCATTTATGCTACTCTCAGTTCTGCACTGATTACAGTTTTCCAAAGTTTACTCCTTCAGTACAAACTCAGGAACAACGTTCTGTTTCCAATTGTTGCAGTGCTCCAAACACTGGAAACCAAAGACTTTCAACCACTCCTTCCCTACGTGACTCTTCACGCTGCGGATTTCTACACGGTTGGCCCCCAAGGGAAAAGAGGGGAGAAGGCAAGCAGTAAAGCCAGCAGAAATCCCACATCTCGTGCTATGAGCACCAAGCGCCTCAGCTTCACCACACACTTCTTGTTCCACCATCAGCAGCTCTGCAAGACTTCAGATACCACCTTCTTCAACCCTCCTAACAATCAGCCACCAATATCTACGGCCTTTATTGTTGTTGGTTTTTTTTCCAGAAGGAAAATTGTTGGACCTGATGCCTTTCTGCAGCTCTCAGCTGGATATCAGTCATTGGAACAGGAAATTTAAGGCCTAAGTTGCACAGAGGGAGGAAGGGGTCAGGAGGAGGTGATCCCTGACTGCAGACACGCTGGGATCTGGAGGGAGGATGGCTGTCCTGATGGGTTTACATTTGTTATTTGTTTTTTTTAAGAAATTAAATATAGATTTTTTAATATTTTCCCTAGAAGTCCTGCATCATACTAAAACCAAAACCAAAACTTCACCTACAATTTTAAGACCAATCCAGTAAAAGGGGAAATTCTTATGACTCCTTTCCTGCTCAAAACCAGATCTTAGCAACAAAAAGAAGAACATCATCTTCTTACTCAGTACGTGTCTGTTCCACATGGCTTTGAGTCATAGCTGGTTTCTCTACCAACTCCAACTTCCTTTTAAAACCCCAGCCTACACACGAGAGGCACTTGCACTCACTCAGCTGGATTTGTGGGGCCTCACAACACAACTGTCACAGACAAGCATGAGGACTTTTCTGACACACTGAGAACCACATCAGAGGGGAAACAAGTGCCTAATTTTCAGATGATGTGCCCAGCATTTCATGGGAGAGGTGAGGAAATCAGATCTTCATATACGAACGGAATAAACAATTGACAGAAAGTGAATGAATCCTTAAAAATGGAATTGCTGTTCTATGTTAAGCATCATTTTTTTGGCATTGCTCCTTCTTTGTGAGCGTATTCATCGACAAACATGAAGAGCTTTCTGTAAGAAGGGCTTGTGGCACTTGCAGGCCAACATCTCACCACGGGGAACAAAGTCTGGGACATCTGCTCGGTCTGCTTAATCCTGTTGTGAAAAGCAGAAGCATCACTGAGGATTAACTGGAAAAGGTGCTTATTCTAGAATGTAATCCTTAGCCCTGGTTTACTTTCCAAACGTGAATTTATGACAAAAAGGGGGAAAAAAAACAGCAAGCAAAAAGAAGAAATCCTTCCGTTATCGCTCACTCACCGCTGCCCAAGTCGACAAAGAGATCGTCTTCTGTCATTTTAATCTCATCTATCATCTGGGCCACCAGGTCGAAGGAGGTTTCTCCATACACCTCTGGGGAGAAGGGCTCGTAGTTGTTGAGTTTCTCGGGGTCGGTCACCGAGTGGTTGTAAACCTGCTGCAGGATGTGCCGGAGGAGCCCGTTGGAGGGACGCGTGTTCAGCTTCATCGGTTGGGTGGTTCCCTTCCACTGCACAGAAAGAGCAAGGAGGGACGTTTTGGTGCATGAAAAACTCAACGTGAGCCAGCAGTGTGCTCATGCAGCTTGTGGAAAGCAAATGGTATCCTAGGCTCCATTGGAAGAGGGGTGGGCAGCAGGGATTGTCCCTCTTTACTCTGCCCTCGTGAGGCCCCATCTGCAGTGCTGCGTCCAGGTCTGGGGCCTCCAGCACAAGAAGGACGTGGAGCTGTTGGAGAGGGGCCAGAGGAGCCACAAAGATGAGCTGAGGGCCGGAGCAGCTCCCCTCCAAAGACAGGCTGAGGGAGCTGGGCTTGTTCAGCATGGAGAAAAGAAGGCTGTGGGGTGACCTCAGTGCTGCCTGCAGTGCCTAAAGGGAGCCTGCAAACAGGAGGGGAATCAACTCTATGAAAGGGACAAGGGGAAATGGTTTGAAGTTGGAGGAGGGAAGATTGAGGTTGGATGTCAGGGGGAAGTTCTTTGCTATGAGAGTGGTGAGGTGCTGGAACAGCTGCCCAGAGAGGCTGTGATGCCCCGTCCATCCCTGGAGGTGTTCAAGGCCAGGTTGGATGGGGCCCTGGGCAGCCTGGGCTGCTGTGAAATGGGGAGGCTGGCAGCCCTGTGTGTGATGGGGGGGTTTTGGAGCTTTGTGATCCTTGAGGTCCCTTCCAACCTGGGCCATGCTGTGGTTCTGTGACAGAAATCCAACGTGAGGACAAGCAAATATTAGTGAACTAATAGATAAGTCCAAACATCACTGCTAGAAATAACGGGAAGGTACAAATTCAACAGAGATCTTAGTTGGGAGCACACCTGGAAAAGGCGTGCAAGTTTGTTCACCCATTTTGTATTTACTGATCACCACTGATGTTGGCTGTAAGCTCAGCGTGAGAGCAGCTCAACTTCCACTGGGAATTGTGGGGTGGGAGGGATCGTATGCACACAAACAGGAGTGGCAGGAAAGAGATGGAAATCGAGCTTCCCTTGTTTCTTTTGAAGAAACACCCATCCCTAAACACAGTGCAAGAAACATCTGCCTTCAGTAAGGAAAAACAAAAAGGGCAACTCCAGAATCTGGGCTAAGGGTTGCTGTGTTTGAGATCCAGGTGGCAGGAGGAGCATGAATTGACATACAAAACCCAAACAGTTTTTAGGGAGCTGCAGGCCCGTAAAGGACGGGCAGAAAGCCTTACTGTGCTGCATACATCCAGTAATTCCCACAAGCACTATGGAAAGGAAAAGAAATCCACCTCTAATTTCAAAATTAAACAGACTGCTAACATTAAGTCATTACTCATGATTTACTTCCTTCAATTCAACCTTACAGAAAAGAACACACCTTGTTAAATCGGGCTGAGATTACAGTCTAGTTTTCCCCATCAGAGCGGCCCTGCAGCACAGAGCAGAACTGAATGGCAAGCACGGAAATTCCTAAGCCATGGGTCACTGCCACAATACACAGGGGGCTTCATATGGATGGCTTAAGAACCCATAAGCCACAGATTTCCACATGCAAAAGTAAACCTATATGATAAATCCCTGTGAAACTTCTGCGAGCAAAATACACAGAAGCCTTTTCTCAGCCCCCTGAAGGGAACAAAGTGCCAAAGGAGCACCTGAACGAGAGCTTACAAACCTGCACGTAGGGAAAAAGGAACAAAAAAAAGCTCCTGTGCTTTTTATCTCCTGTAAGGCAGCCCCTCCAATAGCAACTCTTCGATAGATGGCCAAGGAGAGATCGCTTAATGAAAGATTTAAACCCCCATAAGAATGGAAGCACCGAAGCACCAGTGACACCACCAGATCGCACCACCAGTGCTCAACCCCGACGGTTTTTAGATGTCATTCACTACACGTGAGCCCAAAGCAGGGAGATGAGCACCGTGGCACAGCAGTGGCCCATACGTACCAGCTGGTGGATGCTGTCGATGGCGCGGTTGTACTTGTCACACAGGCGCTGCATGCTTTCAAAGCTGCGGGGAGAAGGCACAGGTTACAAGAGGAGGGCAACAGGCCAGCTTGGAGGTACAGCTTTCAGCCCCTTTGTCATCACAGAAGCTGATCTATTCCAGGTTTGCTCCTTGCAGAGCGTGTGATTACTTGCACGGCTTTAGGACACTGCCTAGTTTGCTTTCTGCCGTCTCCCAGCAGAGCAGCAGTACAAGACAAAGAAGCAACAAGTTGTGCAACCTGCTTGTGCCGTGGAAAGAAGACAGGCACTTCCATTTTGGAAGCTGAACGTTCATATATTATTAGTTCCCTTAGTGAACAGGAAAATAATTGAACTTAAGCTCTGATTTATGAGCAGTCTGCTGTTCTCCTTGCCCGCTACTTCTTTTCCTCCACGCAGACACACAGAAATGTGTCTGTGTGCTGCTCTCCTTTGTTCCACTGAAGGGAAAGGGGGTGGTGGGCAGTGTTGGTGGGAGGTGAATGCTGGCCACGATGACCTTAAAGGACTTCTCCATCCGGAATGGCTCTACAAGCAGCACTTCATGACAGTGACTGCTCCATGGGTTGCTCAGGATTACAGGCAGTGTAGCCAGATGCCTCCATGGCAGAAGCTTAGAGGATTAAAAAAAAATTTATCTCATGCCAGGGAGGAAAAGATATTGCTAGGAAATGAGGATTACATAACCAGGTTCTATGAAAAAAATAAAAAATAAAACAAAAATAAAACAAATGAGCAGTTATGGGAGCAAGATAATTAAATCGTGGCCACCCCTGAACCAAGAAGTGGGGACCAGGGGATATAGAAAGAAGTGGCATTGCAGTCAAGCAGTTAAAACGAAATGGAGAGGAGCAAAACCACCTTCAGCAGATCATGATAGCAGGACCTGCGTGGGGCTCGGGATTATAAACAGGGATGACTTACAGAGGGATGGGGTTCCATCTGCAATCCTCAATTTTTGTGTTTAGCCGCACTGTGGACTTGAACAAATGCAGTTTTCCCCCTGTGCACCTCTTGAATCAATTCTGTTTTTCCCCACATAAGCAATGAAGGAGGTCTCTGCATGCCACAGCTCTTTCTTTTCTTTACAGGGGGTCACAGCTCTTTCCTGCCTCAGTGCAGCAAGTCCATGCGTGCACATTCACCCCAGGAGACGCTGCAGGCTGAGGGTCTGCCGCTGCCAGCCCCAAGATGGACAGGGGGGAGAGGTGGGATAAGGGGGAACGGCCTTAAACTGAGACAGGGGAGGTTCAGGTTGGATATTAGGAGGAAGTTTTTCCCCCAGAGGTGGTGAGGCACTGGCACAGGTTGCCCAAGGAGGCTGTGGATGCCCCATCCCTGCAGGCATTCGAGGCCAGGCTGGATGTGGCTCTGGGCAGCCTGGGCTGCTGGTTGGCGACCTGCACACAGCAGGGGATTGGAATTGATGGGCATTGTGCTGCTTTGCAACCCATGCAACCCATGATTCTATGGAGGTGAACAGCATCCACTACACATTCATTTGCAGCTCTTTGTGGAACAGGCACTCACATGTAGACACAAGAACCTCCAACTAATCCTAGCTGCCCAAGAGAGCAGTAGGAATGGTCTGCCTTTTGATTTATTCCCCACCCAAACAGCATCACACTCGTTCTGAACCCGGAACGGAGGAGGAAGGGGGAGGTTCAGCTCCCACAGCCCTGGCAGGAGAAGGACACGGCGCTGACAGACAGCTCTGGCATGCAGCTTTCTAAACAGGAATTCTGAGTTACTACAGAAGTAGAAACCTCGGTGCCATTCAGCTCGCTAGGGCTGGATGCAGTCCAACAGCTCAGATACCGATCATTGTTTTGCAGTGAGTAATTCCAACGTACACAGCAGAGCTCAGCTCTCCGCCGTACGCAGTTTCCTATTATGTCCTTCATCCAACAGCCTTTGCCAATATTTCTGTTACACATTTCCTACCAAAATAGCTCTGCCAGCTCCAGAAGAAAACTTTGGTTCGTAGTGTCTAAGAATAACCAGATAGCAACAGATTCACTGCAAACCGTGCTGGCCTGTGCTCCTGCTGGGAAAAAGTATTCTTTGCTCACCTTTTTGTGTCATAGTCAATTAGAACGTAGTTTTCCATAGCAAGCTTGAGATCTGGGATTTCTTCACAGACCCACCTGGAAAGAGAGAAGGAACAGAATAAAAACAACATTTCCAGTTCGCTCTGATAAGGCAGTCTGTCTCAGTTCTAGACTGGCATTGCCATACATTGAGACAGAACGCTGCAGCAGACATGAAAGCTCACAGTATTGTTAGGAGGAAGGCAGACAGCACAAAATGCTAACTGGGAAGCTGCAAGTGTCCATATTTGTGTTGAAAAAACAGCGAGGTGCCTGTAGACATTGGCAGTGGTATAAAGCACTGGAAATGGCACAGCTTCAAATGGAGGTGATAAGTGTATGGAGTGCATCTGAAAATACCCAAAGCTATAGCTGATGCTAATCTCACATAAAGCATAACACAAAAAAGAAAGAAGAAGAAAAAAGAAAGAAAAATGCAGTGTCTTGAAAGGATTTCTAACAAAACTGACACTGTAACAGCTTTGACAAAGGGGAAGGTGGAGAAGACCTCTCCTCCAGCAGCCTGGACCACCACCACCAGCCATTCACAAGGATCTTCTCTAAGCTTTTACACTTGACACGACCCAACCCAAGACAGATTTGCCAAGGTAATTTTGATAAAAGATCTCTTCCTCGTGCTGAACTAACAAAGCCCAAACGCTGCTGCCATTAGGAGGGGAAAGCTCAGCCCCACTGGCACTGCATCTGACAACGGCAGCTCACAGGTGAGAGTTTTGCTCTCACTATATGGGAAGATGGTGAATTCTGATGGCAACTGAAAAGCCACAGTGCCTTGGCACAAACTTTCCTCCAAAAACAGCAAAACAGGGAAGAGCTGCCATCACCACAGCAACTCAGAGCACGCCATAGGAAGGACAGAAATGGGAATGGCAGCATTTCCTGTCCTTGCACCACGCTTTAAAATGGTGAAAGAGCACAAGAGATCCAGCTGTTCTGGGTCCTTCTGCCTGATTCACCCTTACCAAATCAACACACACACAAATTAACAGAAATCCCCATTTGATACCAATGCCTGTCTTCTGCTGAACATCCACCTTCCCCCACATTTACAACATTCACAACTTTCCCAATTTTTCTCTTACATCAGGCAAATGGGCAGCCAACAGGTGCTTACCCAAGGAGATTGACAGCTCTCTGCATTCTTTCACTCAATGCTTTCATAACCACGCTGCGGTCTCTGAGCACAAGGGAGGCAAAAGGCCGCACGGAAGCCATCTAACAGCCCACTTGCACTGCAGTCACGCTTGTAAGACGGTTGTGAAACACCTCTTTGGCCCAACTGCTTTCTTACACAAGCCCCCTGTTGCCTGCAGGTAGCAGAGCACTGAAAACAGCACAGAGGACTCTGGCAATCGCTTCCATCTTCCCCATAATCACACCGTGGGCTCCCCAGGCACAAAACTTCACCAGCATCAGCACAAGCGAGCTGGAAGAAACAGCAGCAGGGCAGCTTGCATCCAGGCTTTGCAGCTGAAAAAAGAACGTTTCTTCTTAAAAAACAAAAAGCTGGAGCTCCAGCCTCCAGCATGGCACCTGCACATTCCCTCCTACCACAGACTGTGGTCAAATATTATGATTTCATCTACACGAGTGATGTTATGAGCAATACTGCTAAGCTTTCCCACTCATGCTGGGAGCAGCTTGCTGGGCCATATGGGATGACCAGGCTCCAAGCTCGTGTGGCCATGCAGGCAGGACCCTGCTCTGTGTTGCATCTGCACCATCCAACCTGCTGCCCTCCTTTATACCCTAAGGTGCCCACTCACTGTGATGAAGCCATGCACAGGACAGGGTTCCAGTCTGCACCGAACACTTACCGAATTGTCTCAATGATTTCATGAGCAGCATCATGGTGTTTGTCCTGAAACAAAGCAAAAAAAGGTATTTTCAGAGAGACAACAGGCGTGCTGTTTTTTAGAAGATTACAGGAACTGCAATCTTGTTCACGATACAGGCGACAAGCGTACAAGGGAAGGAACGTTGGATTGCCACCTGAACCCTTAAATCAATCCAAGTGAGCCCATGACTTTGGGAGTTCACTGAGCAGAACCAGAAACACACATTGCAAGCTACTTCAAGCACGTGCCCCAAAAGCCCATGTAGTGCACATACATGCACCATGCTATGGAAAAAGTCTTATTTTGGAAAGATGAAGGTGTTCTATGTATCTTGTTGTATTCATCACACGAAGCCATGGCTACCAGGGCCCATCCACACAGTTTAGGTTATATTTAGACGCTTCTTAAAGTGGCTTTGACCTTTTAATTAGAAACCTGGGATCCGGGACCTTCCAGTGTCAGAAGGGTATAGGCTCACTCTCCAAATTCCCTCATCTGCTGCAGACATGTAATTCCTACAGAGCTACCATAGGAAATGGACTGGGGCAGGGGAAGGAGTGGAAGAAGAGAAACACCAACGGAGAGCTGACAGAAGTAGCTGTGGATTATTCTGATTTAAGTTCAACAGAACCCTTCCCCATCTGCATCACAGCTTTCACACACACACAGCAGAGCACATTTCCCAGCCCATGCACTCAGGATGCTGTACAAGTTCTCCCTGCAGAAACTCGCGCCCTTCGTACCCGGATAAAGACTGCATGATGCAGGAGCAGAAGGAGGCAAACATTTCTTAAGTCTGTTATGACAAAGGTATGAAACAACACTTCCTATTTCACTAGGAAAAAAACCTTTATTTTCCAAACAGAAAGAAATAGCTCCGTTCATCAAGGGGTCACGTGAGAAAAAACCAAAATGCTCAAAAAGGAGAAGCTGCCAACCCAAGGGTAGTCAGGACACATGGCTTTCAACACGGAGTGGCCCAGATGCCAACTTCCCTTGGTTCCATCCCAATGCTACAGCACACCCCGTGCTGACACGGCAAGCTGTGCCAACAGCCCTGCACCAGGCTTCCTCCATGGGTTTGTGTACGGCCCTGCATGGCCCACATCCAGCTGCAACCAGCAGCACCAATAAACAGGCAGCCAATGTGAAGCTTTGAGCAAATAGCTGTACCAGTACTGCTCAGCCTAGAAAACAGGGAAGTAATTCAATGGGAACGTGCTCTGTAAATGGACATGTAAAGAAGAAAGGCATGCAGGAGGAGGGCTCTCCTGTCTCTTTATTTCTTATCTGCACAGTACAAAAATAGCCCAAGACAGTCAGCTCATCCATAAACATCCCCTATGAATTTCCACCTTTCACTGCACACGGAATTATCACCGTATAAACCCCCCGGGATGATCCAGCTCTCCCAGTAAACTGTGTTCCTGTATAGTAAGAATGTGGTTTATCAACATAAGCACATTATACCAGAAAAGTGAATTCACGCTTCTGCTGCCATATAACCTTTTTCCCTGAAGAAGTTACATTCTCCACTGACAGCTTTGCAAGCTCACACAAATGGAACCCCGTGTCCTATAGTCTTCAAGAAAACGCCCCTATGATGACCAAAAATGCTTATTTAACAGATTCCTTTGTCTTGAGTTAAAAAATAAACATCACAATGCATATCTACAGCGATAGTTCCAGCAAGTGGTTTTAGTAAAGGAACCTCACTGCTCCTGAGCAGTTCCTGCCAGAAGGGGCCTTCAGAGTTCAGACTGTGTTTTATCTAGCAGCAACAAAGCTGGAAAAGGTTCCACATTGACAGCAGCTAAGTTGCTCATGTTGAACGCTTACCAATTTACCCTTCTCTCCAATATACTTTGTTCAGGTGGACAAGCTCTCAAGATCTCATGCAAGTCTTGAAAAGACCTAACATTTCTTCAAAGCACAAAATGGAGGAGGAAGAAATAAAGATTAAACAGAGGCCACTCGTGGCTCCATTTCAATGCTAGGGCAGTAAGATTTAACAAAGATAGCTTTCAGCAAGAGCCAGTCATCCCACCTGTGCTCACATCGTTGTACTCCCACAAAGCAAGAGTCAAGGTGAGCAGAAACTTCACCATGAGCACAAGCTGCCTGTGCACAGCACCAACACTGCCCACCACTCTTAGGACTTGGTGCAGCAGATTGAACCTGCTCTGTTCGCAAGCCCACTGGGAGAACAGGCTGGGAAGACCGGGCTGCAGTTCCTGATGATGAAGCCTCCTGCCCTGCCTGACCACCACAGCACAGCACATCATCAAGGCCAGGCTGGATATGGCTCTGGGCAGCCTGGTGAGGTGGTTGGTGACCCTGTCCACAGCAGGGTTTGAAACTAGATGATCTTCAAGGTCCTTTTCAACCCAGGCCATTCTATGACAATTCTATGATCTTGATCTGAAGCTCCTAATCACAAAATCACAGAACATCCCACCTTGGAAAGAACCCACACAGATCACCAAGTCCAACTCCTGGCTCCAGCACCAGCCAAAATCCAAACCCGACCCCCGCAAGTGCTGCCCAAATGCTCCTTCAGCTTCAGCAGCTTGGAGCCATGACCACAGAGGAGCCCAATTCACCCCCCCCCCCCGACTTCTAGCCCTTCTCCCTCCATTGGTGAGGGAGTACATGGGCCCGCTGTGCTGTGTGGGCCCAGGCCTCACTGTACTGCGTAGGCCCAGGCCTCAGTGTGCTGTGCAGGCCCCAGATTCAATACTGCGTAGGCCCAGACCTTGACATGCTACCTGCAGGCCCAGGTCTCCCTGTACTGTGTAGCCCCAGGCCCCAGCTTGCTGTGTAGGACCAGGCCTCGAAGTTCTGCCTACAGGCCCAGGCCCCAATGTACTGTGTAAGCCCAGGCCTCTGTGTACTGCGTAGGCCCAGGTCCCAATACTGTGTAAGCCCAGGCCTTGAAGTGCTGCCTTTAGGCCCAGGCCTCAGTGTACCATGTAGGCCCAGGCCTCAACACTGTGTAAGCGCAGGCCTTGAAGTGTTGCCTTTAGACCCAGGCCCCAGTGCACTGTGTAGGCCCAGGCCCCAACATGCCGACCACAGGCCCAGGCTGTGCTCTGTAAATATCATACAGCCTGAGGGGCTCTCGGGCCCCAGTGTGGATCTGCAGGGCTGCAGGAATGGCACTCCTCCACTGGGTGAGGCCTTATCTCCTCAGTGCGTGCTCTCTGAGATGTTGTCTACAGGAACTGAATGTGCCCAGAGCTGTTCGTAACAAGTTTTGTCGTTGTTTTAAATAATAATAAAAAAAAAAAAATAAACATACCTTACAAGTTATTACAGCCAATCCCGCCTGGCTGAAATGTATTATAAAAGGTTCTTATTTTCGACCTCAACATTCAATCTAAAAATTGCACTCTATGAGCTCACAGACAACATTCAAGTTTTTGCCAAGAAATCTCACGAGAAAAATAATGGAAAGAAAACAAATACTTTTTCAAAAGTCATTTGCAAGAGTGTAGTTTTGTACAGGGAGCAATGGAGACGCCTCAGCAGCACAAGCGAGCAGCTCCAACCCTGAGACGGATTTCTCCATCCATCACCACAACTGGAAGGACTGAATCAGGAGGTTTTGCATAACAACCTACAGGTGCAGGAGCAAAAACCCCCAGTGGTTGTGTTGGTGCCACAACACCAGTTGGCTGCTGGGGGTAAGGTCACAGCACACACCTCCTACACGAGGTGAGGCTGCTTTGCTTGCTTTATTTGTCAAGTTTACATCTCTTAGGAGATCTTAATGCCATCGTTATGGGATAATTCCTTAAGGCAGCCAACAGCCCAAACCACGAGAACTAAAGTTTTAAATCCCAGGTGTGGTCGCAGGGGGGAAAAGAAAGTTGGTGTGTTTTCTATCAGCAGATCTCAAAGCACTGTGCAAAGGACGTGAAGATTCCTTATCTAATTATCACAGATAGGAACTCAAGGCTGACTGCCCAGATTGAACTGTCGCACAAAAAAAAGCAGTCCTCACCTTTAGGGCCCATTGGCCCTTTGACTCACCAGACCTCATTTCCTCTCCCAAAACAGGCGAGGTGACCATACCAGTTTTGCAAAGAGGTGCAAGCAAGCCTCACATTTGCAAGGTAGGAGGAAACCTCCAAGTTTTGCACTGTGCAACGGATAAATCTGAACAAGTCAGAAAAAAAGCAAAGCCTGACAAAAACTAGTGAAAAATTCAATGGTGACACTCGTGTGCTTTTTAAGGATTGCCTTTAAAAGTTCTACATTTCACCACGCAACACCAGCTTCCAAGAACTAAACACTGACTCCACTCAGGAGTTGTTCTGACCGCCAGACTTTGACCTACGAGTGCTGTGATCTTATTGAATTTGCCTAATGAAGGCGGTCAGTCCCAGCAGCTCCTGTTTGAAGCACAGCTCAGCTGCCTGAAGCTGCAGCTCTCTCTGCAGACAGCATCCATAAATCCAAAGGAGAGAGGATGTTACAGCTGGGGACAAGATGGCTAGCAGAGATCAAAAAGATGGATTAGGAGAAGCCAATCAATCTTGCAGAAGACTAGCAGGACAAGTGCCCCTTTAATGTCCCTTAGGTTTCTTCCATCTGTGGTGGATGATAAGCATTCCTCCAGACATCAAGGCAGCCAGAGCAAGCTGCAGCAGAAACAGTGCAGCATCCACACATGGACACGATCCCAAACCCCGTGGCTCCAGAGATCACCTTCATTTGCACTCTGCCTGGAAAGAGCCCCCAGCACAGCATCCATGCCCACAGCATGTCCACCTCCAACGTCCTGCACACAGCAGCGGACAAAGCTCTTGTGAAAAGCAGAACCCAAAGCACTTCCAGCTGCTGCAATCATAACCGGTGCCCACTTTGCGTTTTTAGGTCTTGCCTCACACTGGTTACAAGCTGAATAAGGAAAAGGGAAAGTTGTTCCAAGCAGTATTGCACACTGTATGGATAGACTTTTCATATTATCCGTTTTTATCCCAAAGCAGAACAGGGACAGAGAGTTTCCACGCTAGCA